ACTAAACTTGGGAACCACTGGTTTAAAGGAAGAGTAGAGCCTGTATTTATTTGATTTAAAGGCTTTATATGCAATTTTTTGATCCAGCAGATGTCGCCCTTAAGCACAAGCATGAAACCATAACAACTTGCGCTGCATTGTTGTGTTAGCATGCTAATGTTAGCGATCTTTATTATGCTCATATCTTCACACTGCATGTAAATTTACCCGAAATGAGCGTGATCTAGAAATGCTTATGTGACATTCAGTTAAGCAGTGAGTACAGTATGTTATTCTTCTTTTCTCTAGTCCCTCAATTAAACAACATTTATACGCGAGGAGATGAGCTGGCCAGCCGTCCCAGCTCGATGTAAACAAACTGAAGATAGGACTCGGAAAACTCGGAAAGCATCACAGACAGTGGGACTCGGGTGTTACACCTGTTGTAGACAGTCTCACAGAGTTATTTTCAGAAGATATACTTGATTTCTATTACATTTTTTTTTTTTTAATCAACATATTTTTATTAAAGCAAGTTCAAAACATACAGTGCAATTGGGAAATAGTCAACATTTTTCTTTTTCTTTTTCAATTTCTATTACATTTGTGAAAAATAGCATATTAAGCCTTTAACACACTAGCTAATCAGAAGCATAGGGGCACTGACATTCTAACAAAAAACTTCAAATGTGATAATATTTCAATATTGTTTTTATTGCTTGCCATTTCCCCGTCAAGTAGGATCAAAACCTTGCAGCTTAAAAGCTTGTTATTACTTAACTGGGTGCTATTATGACTTGACGTGCTCTTTTTTTTATGTTTGGGTTTCAAACAGCCAGCTAACTCTTCCTCATGCTAGACCTGCATTTTTAAGCAGTTTTATCAAGTAGAAAGCAAACACAACCACTGACAAACTAAACCACACAGCAAGCAGTGCTATTTTTAAAGTCCCATCCATTGCTTTCTCTAGACTATGTAAGTATGAAACCAACATGCTCTGTATTAATTTGATTACCAGGAAGACTAATGGAACGATCATCAAACATCATCATTATACTCTCTAAAAAAAACTGACACGTTATAAATATTAAACATACTTTTGAGACGGTTCTTCTCATTATCCTTTTACAGAGCAATTGGAAACAGATGAGCTTTTCCAATATTTAACTGCAGCTGCAACGAAGAGGATAGGCTGCATCTCGTCTTGTGTTGCTCATAAAGTAAAGGTAGGCTGCACTTCTGTGGAAGTATATTTTAATCAGTTTTGAGCGCTACTTATTCTGAAAGTCAACATTTAAGAGCCCACAGGCATGGTTTTGTAAGAGCAGAATTAGTTCAATGTGGGGGAGGACACGAGCAGGTGTGACATGACTGAGGTGTGCAAAGGAATTGTGTAAAGCCATATCCTGTCTTTCAAATTGTTGTTGTCAATATACTTTCATAGTAGGAATTTTCTAAAAGCTGGGGGCAGTGATTATTCATGACCAGACAAAGGTCTAAAAGCAACCTAATCGACTGTATGTTCTTTCTGCCGGAGCGTGGCCTTCCACCCACCAAAAATCTCATTGGTATGAATTAAGATGTTGATGTGAAAATGGACACAGATCAGATCGCAGGACAGGATTCCTTTACATTGTTATTATGTTTTCTTGTTGATAAATCCTTGAATAAAAGAAAATATTAAGCACATGGCGCTATCTAAGCCACAGCTAACATTGCCAAAGGAAGCGGTGGTTAACTTTTTGTAACCTATAGCAACAATGGTGAGGAGTGCCCTGAGACTGAGGTCTTGAATGCTGCCAGCACAAAAAACATAATCTTTGGACACAGGCCCTAATTCAGACACTGAACTTAATTTACTTGTGTTCCTTTCCTCCTTTCTACCTCCTTCTTTTTTGTGATTTTCACACAGATTTTGACACTTGCAATATATTATACATATAGAAATCTGCACTCTGGGTTTTAATGATCTTTCAAACAAAACTCCCTCCGTTAATATGAACATCTTCAAATGTATCTCCATTCTCCATATTGTTGCAGATTCATCCCTCCTTCTTTCTTCAACTTTGTTCTGTTTGAAGTTGAATTTGTTTTTGAGAATTGACAGACCCCTACCAATACATAACATGATTCTATTACAGGATCTGAATTGTGTGCTTTTCTTAACAGCTCTATCAGATATGTATTTACTTGGATTACATTTATCATCTTTTTGTGAACAAAATTTTGCATCTGGGAACTTAAAAAATGTCTTCTTTCTCAAATGTTCTTCTTTAATCATTTCAAAACTAAGCAGTCTTCCTTCTTTCATCAAAGCCAGTTTATTTGGTGTAAAGTCTGAATCATACGCAGACCATTTAAGCATTACAGTATCTCCCTCTAATTTATATTTTCTTGTGATCATTTTTCAAGAGTCTGTTTCGCCCACAGGTTTATGAGAGTATTTATAATCTGTGGTGTTTTTTTTAAAGCCTCTGCACTTATTGGTACTCTCAATCATTATCAGTATCCAAAGTTCTTCCGACTCCTTTTTCAGACGTGTGAATTGAAGTAACTAGTATTTGAAAGCTTCTTTTGTATGATGTCTTCCATCGTTTGTACATATTACTTATTTTCTGTCTGCTTATTCTTTTATTATGTACTTTTATTCTCTTCTCTTTTTTTTACATGTTCAAATTAAAACTTCAATCAATCAATGAAATGATCTACAATTTTGACAACCTTACTCCTGATGGAGATGAGGACAAGCAAAGGAGGCAAATGGGTTGCATTTTATTCACACTGATAAATAAGGAACTACAGTCAGCAAGCACCACAAACCCCAAATAAAGTTTAATGAAGTGGGAAACATAATGGTTAACTAGCTAATTAGTCAGCTAATGAATTTGCCACAGGCTAGCTTGGATTACTTAATGTCTGCTAACCCCTGGCTCCTCTCCAGCATTACCCACTCATCCAAATATGGTCAAGAAAGCCAAAATGCCATGTTTGAGGTCTCAAGTAGTTGACAAACCAATTGGTGACATCACAGTGGCCACAAGCAATTCTTTAATACAGCCTATGGAGCATGTGAACATATGTGAGGTCAAACGTTAGAGAAAGAGTTTCCTCTTGTACCCATGTCCCCTCTTTCCTGTCATATGTGTGAGGGAGTCAGAGTCTGTGGGTTTGTGTTGAGGACACAGAAATGCTGATGATGCCTCTCCTTTGGGCCCTGTCAAGCTAACTTAGCGTCAGTGTTTACATTGCTAAACAGGAGAAAGTCAATTTAAGGAAGGCTAAAGGCAAGCGAGAGCAGAAGGAAGACAAGAGGGGGACATTGCTCTGTTTTTGAAAAGCTAGGAGGGCTGTCCGTTAGGGCACTTCTGAAGGACGATCTCACCTCATGACGAAGTCAGTTTATGATGTCATTAATTTAGATTGATTCATGCTGCGACAGAAGTTCCCCTGTCAGAGCTTCTCAATGGATCTGTTGTTTTCCTCTGGCAGTTAAATCCAAATGATTTTGTTTGCAGTCTGAAGGCTCGAGAAGACCCAGTTCACTGGTTCATAATCAACACTGCCTTACTGTATCAGTTTTCCAATTTTTTGATTAAAAGAATAGAATTTCTCCACGTCCTGTAGTTTACAGCTCAAAGCTAACTTTTTTTTTTAATGTTGATAAATTACTTTCTTTATGAGAGTGAGGCAAGAAGATTAATGCTTCCTTAGTATTTTTTTGTGCATAAAGATGTTGCCTCTATAGACTTGTCTTCACACAGAGGTTGCCAGGCAACCTTAAAGTGTGAAACATCCCAGACCATAATGCAAAGAAGAAAAAGAACGCAATATTCTGGTACATAAATACCTATTTAAAAAGTAGTCTTTCCTTTAATAGACTTGATTCTGTCACGAGTTTTACAAATAAAATTCAGAAAGTAAAATGACCCCCCCCCCTCCGGCTTTTAACCTATTTATTCTAATCAGACGTGCTGTTGTTGATGTTTTCTGTTTCTTTGGATCTCAGCTCAGAGCAGCTGCCAAATGTGTGGTAGTACCAGCTCTGCCATTTGTAGTTGATGGCCCTGAAGGCTATTTCAGTTTTTCTTTCCCTTTCTTGCATTGGCAAAAAGACTACAAAATTGGGCAAATATGAATTCCAAAAGTATGAATCACAGGATTTTTTGGATGAGGATACATTTGACAGTGTTATGCCTGTCTGGTTATTCAGCTGTATTTATATGAGCGTATTATATAGACGTTATAATGAAGTACAGAGAGGCCAAGACTGCACACAAAACAGCATGTTACTTGTGAATTAGAGCAATAAGAAATGTAAATAAAAGATGGTGAAAATGTCCATTAAGGGTTTATACAGGCAGGTGGACTTTCATGTCTGACAAACCTATTTGCCTATATCAAGTCCTCTGGCCATATAGCTTCATATTTATCAGACATGAGAGTTATAATGATCTTGCCATCTAATTGGGCTCTTCGTGTGCTACAAGTGTTTATTTAATCTTCCCTTATGCACTAAGTTAATTTCTGTTCCATCTGTTCATAAAATAAGAATTAACTGGATCAGATGTGTAAGAAAAATGAAGAAGCAAGCAATGAGCCAAGAAGCTGAAAAAACATGTGCTGTATGGCCCAGAGTGCAGTCTGCCAGGCGTGCACATCTCTCCTCCCTCGCTGGTGTTCTCATACTTACTTACTCATACTCCCGTCCCTTTAATATCTAACCATAGCTTTTATGGAAACAGCTTCATGAGGCAGCGTGGGAGGAAGTGCCGCCTGAGAGTCTTGACTAAGGGCAAAGAAAACACCCAGCACCTGGCTCAACCCACAGGTTTGACTAGTGATCCAAGTCACTCATATAATTGAGAATAGACCCACCTATTCTAAAATGTGCTGTAACCTACATCAAATTATTTCCGGCTAACAGTAGAACCTCCACCACTGAGATAATTAAAGAGGGAAAAAAAACAAAAACGTGAGCTCGATTTAAAAACTAACTTGAAGTGCACATGATTCCCATTCAGCATCAAGAGGATGTGAGATTCAGCCGCATCTCTTCCGCCCATCCCCTCCTGCCAGCTGCCGCTGTCAGTAGCCGGGCTGTAGTGGTGATGCTGCTCCCTGGTGTGTAGAGGAGGAGAGAGAGCGTGTCCGCTGCCCAATGACAGCGCAGGTTGCTGAGAGACGCTGCTGGGGTGAATGGAGGCGACAAGATGCCGTCTAGATTGGCGAAGAAAGAAAGGAATTAACATCGATCAAGGTACATTTATGTCTTTTATTTGGGTCCCAGTCCATCCGCGTTTCATCAGTGATGATAAACGGAATACGTGAAGTGTCCTTTCGTTTTTTTTTGTTTTTTTTAGCGTTTCGTGAGCGACCTGGCGGAAAAGGCACGGGCTGTGAGCGTTTGAACAAATCTCTTCTCGTGGTCGGTGATTGCATGGACACAGCCAGTCAATGATGATTCGATACCGGCGGATTTGTATTTTTAAACCAGTATTAAAATGATAAGAGCAGCGGGGTATTTGAAAATCCAGGTTGCAAGCTGGCTTCCTCACGGCGGGTAAGCCCAATATTTCATTGGTGCTCGACGGACACCACGCTGGAGCCATCGAAAATGAAGGCCCAATGAGCTGTCAATTGCACGGTCGTGCTTTCAATGCTGCATCGAATGTTACTCAGCTTGCACATCTAACGACAGACATCAATAATTCACATTTGAATAGAAAACCTCTGTGTATAATTAAGACTTGTCGAAGAGGTTTTACATGCGTTTTTCATTTTACGCCGGCAAGCCATTTCAAAGAGGGACAATCACTGAGCTTCGGCTCGGAGTTGACGGTAGAACAGACTATGTGCACATTTACATTTTCTCATCCAATCAGCCAACCATTGAATTCAGTGGGAAGCATGGGGGCGTTAGACCCTCTATTAGAATACGTGATGAGGAAGCTGCATGTGTGTTTGCACAAGCAGCTCTGTACCGTGCTGAATGGGTTGGCACTTCTTTTTCTACAGAGGATATTCTCTATTATCAAAGGCTATTTATAGAAAAATGGCCCTCTAGTCCTACCCTAGACATGCGCTCTGACCTCAAAAGCACGTTCTCACTGTCAAAGATCCATGCTTTTAAGTCTTATACAATTAGTTCCAGGAGGAATACAATGCATGGACGCTTGCTTTCAAAATGTCATGTTGGCCTCATGGAAATCAGCCTCAGCATCCCCACAGATAAACTCAGCAACGCCTGTGGTGAAATCTTTACAACATCTGTATCATCTGCACAGTTAACGCACCACTGCTCTCACTGAGCATCTCTTTAGTAGCCTGGTCTGGTATTTGATGACAGGTTTTCAAGTCCTTAATAACTGTAATGCTCAAGTTAAACCTGAGCATTAAGGACATCTGGTCAGATATGAATTCAAGTGACAGCAAGGCCATAAGCTGCAAAAATGGCATTAAATAATTTAATCGGGAGAAACTACTGCAGTCTACTGTGTCCTTGTTTATTGAATCAGGCTCAAGTGTATTCTTAAGCATCCTTTGTAAAGTGAACTGTAGAGTAAGGAAGGGGAGACGGAGTACGATTGGCCTTCTCAGCTGGCATCTCCTCTGGTGCTTCCATCATATCATTTTTCTGCTAGCATGATCCTCACATGAAATTGCATTTTGGTCATTTCCCCCCGCCCATGCAGTTCACTGAAAAATGTGCTTTAGATCTGTGTGGGTGAAATCTGTTCATGTACAGAAGAAATTCTGCTTTAAAACAGGGTTAGAAGTAGAAAACGATCACAGTGGTATCTGGAGGGAAGCCGGCTCATGGGTGTTTTCTCAAGACGATTGGACAACTTTTGTCTCAGATGTCCACATTAAAAGTGCTGCAATCTTTCGTCAATTAACTGATTAGTAGATCTACAATAAATTAGCTCAGAACAATTTGGAAGATTGCATGATCGTTAACGTTTTCTGTTAAACAATTTAACTTTAAAGCAATTTATTTGCTTCAGTGTCTGAAATGAACGAACCTTCATATGCTACTGTTCTCTGTATTATAACACTAGTACACTGAATAACTTTGGGTTTCCATAACTTAAGACAAAAGAAAATTATTTCAAAATGTGAAGCGAGCCATTTTAAGTAAGTGTTCTTTACTTGATAAAAAGACAATAATGTTACAGTTCTACAATCTTCTTTGATCAATTACCATGTTTATCAGTTTATCTCAGTCTTTTAACACCAGGCTGTTAATCTGTCAACCCTACGAGTATATTAGAGTGTATGATATAGGATTAACAGAAAAACAACACTTTATATAAAGTAAATAACAAAACAATGTGGAGACTGTCAGAGACAAGCGCTCAGTGTGTTTAATTCGTCAGGGGAAGTGTGTTTTTGTCTTTAGCAGCGTCTGTGTTGACATTGGTCCTCATCACAGTGCCATGTTCCTCTGTTCTGCCCATGTCATGATTTTGTCCCGTAACTATTTCTGGATTTATTAAATAGCGTACATTGAGGGTTGGCAGGAAACACAACATGTGAGGGAGAGGACAGGCAACAAGGATCCCCAGCTGGGATCAAAGCGGGGAAGTTTTAGTCAAATGGCACTCATCCCAGATCACTGGCCCACCAGCACAGTTGGCATCATTTTTGTAAATTTGAAACTCCCCACATCACATAGTTTTCCTTTTATTAAAAATTACAAAAGTGAAATGACGAAGTGAATCATAGCTAAAGCTGAGTACCATTTAGTAGGACTCATCAGCGTTAATAAGGAGTCTGACAAACACAATTTATAGACATCCATTTCAGGGAAACATAATGCTACTTAAAGAGGTACAAAGAGGCCAGAGAGTCACTGCCTGATTCACTGTTTCGACAGAACATCCCAAATTAATGCAGACATCTGCCAGACACAGAAAAACGTACTATTACAAGTAGATCCTGACAAACACTGACTCAATGATGCTTTTCCAATATGTTTGGCTTCACACTTCAGACCACAGCACATCCCCTCTGAGTTGAAACATTTTCAGTTTAAGCAACATGAGGATATTATGAGGCTCAGTAGACTGGATGCACAGGTGGTCAATTATAATTTTTGTTGTTGCTTTGTCTGCAGTGTTCTATGCTGTTTTTATTTGATTTAAAAAAAAAATAACTAACTAGACTGGACAGACTTGCTGTAGCAAGCTGACCACTAAAGATAAGAACTACAGTGATTATTGTTGCATACGTTTGTTTGAATTCAGTTTTCAATTTTACCTCTCAGAGGTACTGACAAAGAAAGGAGAGTTATTTTACACACTACAGAGTGTCTACAGCATGTACACACATGCTCTCTGTAGACTTTTGGACTAGTTCTTGTAGATTTGTTTGCAGTTTTATATTTGCAAATTCCCATATCTAGGCAAAGTTTGCTTTATATAACTAAAAACATATGATTGTATGCTGTCTGAACCCCTCTGCCAGACTGCAAAGATTGTCGCTGGCCGAATTCCCACAAACATGATGCTTCACTGGGTGCAGCTGAGGGTTCATGTCATCAAAAATCTAACTTGATTTCATCCAACGAAGAGACCTGTTGACACACTGTGCTGTGCCATGAGATCTCATTTCATGTCATCTGTGCCCCAAAAAGTAAAAAAAAAAAAAATAAATAGATGTATCATTATGAATGTAACCTTGAAGCTGTAATGTCACATTGACACTGTTGAATAAAATACCACATTACAAAATTTCCCTTAACCTTTTGGAAACTTTTTGCTAGCTTTACTTCAGACCACAGATGTCCTTTATCTCTGTTAGCTCAGGCATTGTCGCCATAGCAACTGAGGCTAAGCAGCAAGTGTCACCAGAGGAGACAAAGTCTTAAAGTTCACTTCGATGAAAGAGTGTAATTTTTTTTGGCTGAGGTTATTCATTACAGCCTGTGACATCACAGCCTGTGTGTGTCTTTGTCGTCAACTCTTTAACACTTTTCTGTACTTTACCTTTTTTCCACAATGTAATAATGCCACAGCCATTATATGCCATCTCCAGCTTTAATATATCACAGACTGTGATTTATTAAGGCTGAAATAGCTAAACTATTATTTTATAACTCTATATTATTTTTAACATTAAAAAATAAGTATTCCATATCATTTTTTCCTTGTTAGCCTGCAGGATGTGCTGTATATTATAATATTTCCATAAAAAGGATGTGATATTTTATAATTTTTCCATTTAATTCAGTTTCCGACACTTATGATAGTAATAAAAAGGTTGCTTTTTTTTTTTTTTTTTTTAATTTGATCTCTACAGACTTTGTGAAAAGAACTGATCGAGTAGGTAGCAAAACAGGGTGGCATCATATTTAACCATTCATTTTGTCTTCACAGCTTTTCTGGATGCATAGTCTTTTAAATTATATAGCCTGCCTTTTGCATGTGATCAAATTTGGTAAACAAAACACATGCATTTTCACATCTTACTAAGTTGCAGGATTTCCTCTTGATACAAAACGATTGACAACCATCTACCAGGTTTTTTCAAGATAAACATGTTTTGTCCTGTCATTTTAGTTGAGTCACTATTTAGCCGATGCACTGTGAGGTTGTACAGCCATTCTGACTTTCCCGCATCTTTTTGCAACAGTAATGAGATGTAGACAAATGTTGACCAGTGGGAAATCCAGGATGATGCTGGGAAATTCCTGCAGGCCATTTGAAATAGGAGCCAAGCACAATGTGACAGTTTGCTGCTGATGTTATAACTAATAGAGTCCTTAAGCTAAGTGAACTATTTATTCCTCCTTTTGAAACATCTTGAAGGCCAGCTCTGTTTGTTTTTAACTATTCTGTCTCTTGTGGGACTTTAAATTTGATAAGAATACACTTTTCTTTTTGTGCCTTTCATGTGACAAAGTTGTTCTTCATCTAACAGGTGTTTCTCTCCTGTTTCCTCAGATCTGACTTTGATGTGCACAACCTTTTAAAGCATGAAATAAATCACCCATGTACGGTTCAGAGAGTCAGAGCAGCCTCATTTCAGCGCCCTCCCGTTAAGGACCCTCTGGTGGCTCCACCGCTGACTCACAGGACATGTACGGCAGTGCCAGAGCTGTAGGCCATATAGAGAGCAGCCCCGCACGGTCCCCGCGCCTGCCAAGGTCCCCCAGATTGGGCCATCGGAGGGCCAACAGCGGGGGTGGGGGCGGTGCGGGGGGCAAGACGCTCTCCATGGAGAACATCCAGTCCCTCAACGCTGCTTACGCCACCTCAGGTCCCATGTACCTGAGTGACCATGAGGGCGTGGGCTCCACTGCCACCTACCCAAAAGGCACTATGACTCTGGGTCGCGCCACCAGCCGGGCCATGTATGGGGGGCGTGTCACAGCCATGGGGAGCAGTCCCAACATTGCTTCAGTGGGGCTGCCTCACCATGCTGACCTGCTGTCTTACAGTGACCTGGGCTCCCTCTCCATGCTGCACCACCATCACCACCACCAGGGGGTGCCCTCTGCCCTGCTGAGGCAGGCGGTGCGGGGCAGTGGGGGGGAGCTGCTGGAGATGCAGGCCCAGCTCAGGGACACGCAGAGGGAGAATGATTTGCTGCGCAGAGAGCTTGACCTGAAGGACAGTAAGTTGGGGTCTTCCACCAACAGCATCAAGAGCTTCTGGAGCCCTGAACTGAAGAAAGAGAGAATCATGAGGAAAGAGGAGGCCGCCCGCACTTCCATCCTGAAGGAGCAGATGAGAGTCACTCATGAGGAGAACCAGGTGGGAGCATTCTTTCTCTTATCTTTAATCCACTCTTTGCTGCAATGAGTTTCACTTGATGCTAGTCCTTTTTCTTTCCGTCTTCTTTTTTTGTCAGCATTTCTTTCTCTGCTGTGGACCGCTGTCACCCTCAGTCCAATAATTGCATTCATGTGTTTTAAGTACATGAGGAAACCTTTCTGGAAAGAGTTCTTAGCAAACATTAATATTTAACACACACTCTCCTTCAAGGTGCTCCAGCACAGCATCAATGTCAGAGAGAGCACTCGAGCCACAGGAAATACAAAACCTTTCAATCTGCTTGTCTATAATCTGCTTTTTGAAATCTGAGCTAATATGAGCTTTGTGCCTCATATGAAACCCTCTTACTGTCAATGGAAGCCTATACTTTCAGTTTGTAACTTCTGTTTGCATCCTCGCCACAAAATCTTTACATTTTGATTTCTTTTCAAGTGTTTTATCAGACTGGCCCCTTGAGTTTGAGATGTCAGGAGATTTTCTTTTTTGCTTGCTTCAGTGTGGGGGTGTAGTCATGGCCCTGTTCAATCAGTTACTGACAACAGTAGGCACAAGGCCCAGAGACAGATGTCAAGGCTACTGAAACACTTTCTGTTTCTGTCTTCCCTATCCCACAGTCTTTCCCTTACACACTGTGACTTTGATCATCTCTCGCTGTCTACCTTTGTTCATCTGACCCTCCCTGTCTTCAAATATAAATACCCAGTCAGTCATTTTCCGACAAAATCTAGAAAAATGTCAATTTGAAATTACTCGTTTTTTTTATTCATCAAATCTCTCCATCTACAGAGTAGCAAAAATCTATTTCAACTATGGAAATATTCCAGATATAAAATGGCCCATCTTCACTGTGGACCAATTTAATATGGAACCATGGTCTTCATGCCTCCAGTACTGATATGTTTCTTGGATATGTTAAGCCAAAATTTCATTGCTGTATGTTGTCAAAAATTTTGATAATTAGATTCTTTCTGTACATGGTTTAAAAGTATACAATCTCCATTATTATATTGATCATTAGTACCAAAAAAACGACTGATCCCAAGTCACATTTTTAACCAAAAGCTGCTGTGAGTGAAAAGAGGGAGTACTGTCTAAATTGCACGAATACATTGGCAACATTTCAATATTGAAATGTCACCAACTTATTTGTGAAATTTCAACAATATGCAGGAGTTTACCGCTAATGTTTGGTAATTAAAACAAGAAATGGCCAAATATTTGGTGCCTAGGACTTGTTGTTGGGGATCCAAACAGGCATTGATGTTTGATTTCTGCTGGAATCATATTTGACTTCATGATCTGAAATTGTGACTAAATTAGCTTACTTTTGGATATGTTGTGTGCTTTATATAACTCGTATTTAGGTTGTATCTAAAGGGAACAAACACTGTGGAAGATGTATAAAAGGTCAGAGTGTTTTCTTTTACTGGCTTCTTCTGTGGCATGATGCAGCAAATTGCACACCGCCTCACGAATCGTAAAAGGTTGAATTTTGCTAGCTGATAGCGCTCTTTTTTTTCCCTGTGTGTCTGCGTTTCTGTCAGTCCACTTGAGTGATACTGTCGACCACAGAGCGGCCAGTGGGCCATCCATTACTCACAGTGGCAGAGACTGTCTCTCCAACCTTCAGAGTCATCGCAGGACACCATTAGCATGATGACCCTTAGATGCGACCTGCCTGTCTGCGTTTGTGTATAATGATTAGCATTAGCAATTTGTCTGGAGTTTAAATGGTTTTCATGCTTTTATCTAAAGAAAGGGCTCCCACGCTGCTAAAGGACTGGTCGTCTCTGTGTAACAACTGAAGGGTCTTTACCTGCTGGTGGTTCCCAATGGGGAATGAGAGATGTTTTATAATGTTTCAATGTCAATGTGCAGGGCATGGGAGGAGAATGTTCCTCAGACAGGGCCAAAGCCATTCATCATTTTTCTTATTCCTTATGTTCAGTGTGATTAAAAAACTCAGTGTGAATCCTTGTGTGTATTTTTAGTTCCGTTTCACACCTAGAAGCTGAATTTGTCTAGAAGAATATAAAAGCTGTACAGTGTGGGCCTTCATGCCTTTGTGCTCGATACAAAGACAGGCTTTTTTTATCCTCAACCTAGTCCATCAGTGTTCGCTCTCACTCTGTGCTGCATATATTAATATCCCTCCTGGTAGGGTTCATTAATGAAGCATGAGTGCTAATAAAAGGCAGATGTGCCGTGCTCTTATAATTGATCGTTTTTATCTTGATTTCTGGGCTGTGAGGCATTCTTATGATAGTGTATGCTTACAGTGGGAAAGCTTCAGAGCTTGACTGAGGAGAGAATTGCCTCATTAATATTGAAGTGATTTCAGACCAATCATTACATCTGTCTTGTAGCATTGTTTACAATGACTACAGGTGCTTCAGTCCTCAATTAGCTTGAGCAAATGTTATACATTATTTATTTTGTGAACTGGGAATTTGTGCCTTTTTGTATCACATCAAAGGAAGAGATACATTGGCCTAAGTTTGTCTTTCTTTGTTTTGTAGAGCAAAGAATCAACTGAAATACCAACAAGAGCAGGCAGAGTTTTAATAAAGACGGTCAAAGGCCATGACTTGAGGAAATTATTAGTCCAAGACTCTATGTGGTACATCTGTAATTTACTTTGCAGCTGGCTCAGGCTGTAACAAAAGTGAACCATGCGACTTAAATCCAGCAGAATATTTTGTCGTGCTGAAGCTGGACGAGAGCTGCTCGAGGGAAGTGTGTGAGCTAGAGCGTACCATATCTGTCTGAGTCATGACCACTGCTGCTCAGCCAGCCAGTCAGCCCAAATCAATGCAATCCCCAAAATGGAGGCCTGGCTTTCCATATGACAAAGCTCTGTTCATGCATGTACATAACCTGTATTTACTGTGAGTTGCAGATTGCTAGGTGTCCCTGAGAATTTCAAGTGTGAACATGTGAACAAATGTGCGTGCTTGCAGACATTTGTATGCACGTTCACATAGGTTATTTATTTATCTGTGTTCCCCTTTGGTCTGTGACGTGTACTTTAAGTAAACAAGGGTGTTTGCAATTTTTTGATGACAGCTTTATTCTTCTCTTTGTAGTTGTGCCAGCTGCAGATGTGTGTGCAGAGGCTTAGTCATGACCACCAGACTGCATTTAATGTGAGAGAAAGAGAGATGTAGAGTCACAACTGTTTTCAGGTATGATATGCATATTTGGTGTTGCAGCAGGTGAGCACACTACAGCAGACATTAATGCATCATGTTCAGTTTGTAGAGACTAGCCTGTAGCTGTATCATATGCATAACAAGCAAAGGTGTTGATATGTTCCCCTAATGTCATAAAACAGTAAGCTCACCTTGGACCCGGGAAGTATCATATGAACAGTGTAAAAAAAGCACATGCATTCTTCCTTTGGTAACCTCCCCCTCAGCTGAGGACATAAGATGGCTGCTGCTTCCTCCAGAGGACAGGAAGGTGATGAGAGGAGGTTTCTCTCCCTCTCCTCAGTTCATCTTAACAGGATGAGATGCCGAAAAGCGAGGGAGGCATTTACTTAGCACGAGGCTTGAAAGATTAAGGTGGGAGCAGAGGATGAGGGAACAAAGTAAAGGGGATAAAGACATGTTACAGTCTGCTCGTGTCTTTTCTACACTGAAGATAAGATCAGAGCCTACAGGGCAGGAGGAGGTAGTTTGCTAAGGGTTTCATGTCAAAATGACCATTTTTTATATAATTCAATGGCAAAAAGATGACCATATTGAGAAAACTGTAAGATTAATATGTCTTGCAAAAGCATCCTCAGAAGAAGAGTAAAGCTTAAACACATTTGTGTATTATGTACCTGTACAGTACAGTGTTTTCCCTAGGTTTACAGCATTGGGGGGGTGGGGACAAGCTGACATGCCGACACGGCGACACGACGACACAAACACTTGGTGTTCATGTGTTACTTTTAATGACAGCTGTCCTTTTCTATCGGAAAGGTATCTTTAAATGACTTCTTTTGCCTGATTTCCGACTCTATCCACTATCCTATCCCTACAATAAAGGCACAAAAAGCACAAAAATAAATCTTTACTTGACCTTCAAATGCGTGAAGAAGGGAAAGATTCAATACACAACATCAAACCACATGGATGTGGTTCATTAACAGACGTCAGAACCTAACATATGTTATGGGTGTGTACGCTGTTTTTCCTCTTACAGCTGTGATCTATACAGACATATATATCTTGATATCCCAGTAATAAATGGTAATGAAGAAAATGTAAATATTGATGAAAAAAGTTAATGACCTTGGACACAACCTACAATGACTTGAAACAGAATGAACTGAAGACATGCTCTTGATTGACTGTTAACTTTTAATTAACCCACATTTCAGAAGAGTACTTCATCAACTCAGCACTCCAATGACATCCTTTCAGCACACGACAAGATAAATGTGGAAAGTACCATAAAAAGCTGCCTTTTTTTTTCTTTTCTTCCTGGGGCTGTATTACCCACAATGCATCTGCCATCAGATTTGTTCAGGGATTCTGGCATGTTACGCTAGTGGCTAATACTGTATAGTCACTCAGTTGAGCCTCATAATTCAGAGATGTGGAGCGTTCTAGTACCCCCAGAATTCTTAGCGCAGCCTCCCCTGGAGACACACACGTGTAAAGGCTAAAGAAGTTTCCCTATGGCACATTAAAAGACAGATGCACAAATAGTATATGCACATGCAAAGTGCATTGTGGTCTGTGTTTGATATTCATAGTTTCATTATTAGTAACATCAGTGTAACTCAAAGGATGTAGGGCCATCTTTTAGAAACCCAATACTGTGAAATAAGAAACTATATGTGTGTAATTTAATACCAAGTCAAAGAGACTTTAAATATTTTAGTACTTAAAAATATTTTTTAAAGACAATATAACAGTGTTCAGATTCACTATTGAACTCCTGTGTCCCCACTCTCAGATTCCTGCATTTAGACAGCTTTTACATCCCTTTTAGCTGAGCATAGACGATTAAATACCAGGTTTGCTGCCATGGCCGTGGGCGTGATTCTATATTGTCAGCCATCACGACATACAACACAGAGATTAGATATGCAGTGAGCTTAGGCTGCTCTGACTCACTGCTGTTGAGCTGTCCATCTGTCATATAAAAACACCCACTGTCTCTAAATACACACACATATATATACCACACATATATGGCAGCTGCTGGCGCCTTTCCCACCTGGTAGAAAAAAATCGTTAACAAAACTGAATGTGACCTGGACGTGACAGCCTTGAATGTCAATCTGTGTACAGTCAGTGTTAAGTCCAGGTAAAGGATCAGCTGTTAACATATCCGACGAGCCAACATGTTGTTAGCCTTGTTAGCTTGACTGTTAGTGAGGGTGTCACTCAGTAAAACACTAATGCTGGCTGAAATATCATCGAAACTAAAGGATCACTTGCTATAGAATTTGTACAGAATAATCTAGAACCTGAGACGATGAAATCTGCTTTTCTCTAAAGTGCTCTAAAATCGGGTCAAAATGTTTAATAGAACTCTTTCACATTTCTGTCATCCGCTGCTACTATGTGTGTTGTGCATATTAGAAATACTAACATAAGTAGCATTTTGAGAATAATAGACAATATACCTACTGTACTTAGTATATTAGCATGCTGAAAGCACATATGCATCTAAGTAGCGTAGCTACTACCTCCCATTGCAACTAGTATGTTGATAATAAGTAAAGTTAACTTCCCATTTAAAAACATGATTTTGACTGATGATTTTTTGACCTGCATTTGAGCAGATATAAGGGCTTGGCATTTTTGAGGTAGATTTTAGGGGAACACAGAATGTGAGTCTTTGACTCTTGTAGCTTTCAGAAGGGTTTTATGTTTCTGCATGAAAGGATTTCTGACAGGCAGTTACCCCCGGATGCCCCGGTGTCAGTTAGACAGAGGAGGGACACAGTAGCTCAACATCAGGCCTTGACTCAGGGAAAATTCTTGAACTTATTTTATAGGACATAAAGAGAAAGAGAAGCCTTTTCTTTGTCTGTCAAAGCACTTCATAAACATATGTTTTTAAAGGGGCTATATAAATGATTATTACTGTTATTATTACAAACTTAAGGCAGGTTGACCACAACAGCAACATCTGCTAAACCACAACTGACTCACAGGAAGTGGTCCTGTCCTGCTTTAAGTATTGAGGGGATTAAGGAGAAACTGCCATAGTCATTCTAACCCACCGTGCAAATATGCAAATGGGCTCACTGGAGAGTTTCCTGTAGTTAAGATCCAAGTCAGTAGGTTATTGATCAGGACAAAACAAGGAAGTACTGATAAGGAACGGAGAGGGAGTAAAGTCAGGTGAGGATACGTGGAGGGAGAGGAAAAGGTTTCTGTTTAGTGTTTGAAAACTGCTCTGTATGACATATTATATGGATCTGATACAAGTGGGGTTCAGCAGGTCAAGATTTAAAGGAACCTTTTCTCAAAGAAAACCAGCCTTTTGATTGGTTAGGTCTGATAACAGTTGTGTTTCATGTAATTGTTGTTAAGAAGATGTTCTTTAAAATATGTTTTTCCCTTTGTAGCAAATGATCATTTTAAAAATAAAAATGCGGATTATTCCACGTGAGATAGAAACAGTTTGACTTAAACTTGTTTAGAAATACAAATCTTTTCATGTTTAAAGAATGTTCAGATCCTTTGTCTTTTATTAAGTGGCAACAATGTGTATAATGGCATGTAAAAAAACATGCATGTTACATTTCAGTTGTGTCAGTTCTTCAGTGCAAGAAGAAATAGCACTGACACGAGCCAAAAGCACTGATGGTGGTGGGAGCGGTCCTGCAGTCAGCTGAAAAATCATCAGCTTCTTCCTGTAATACAAACAGTGCCACCTGGTGGCTGGGAGAGCACATGCTTTATATGCTACCAATTTCCTTGTTGTCTTTACTGAGGTAAGGAGCCAATGTAAAAAGAGGAATGATGTGGAAGTATTTCAACTTTAATATATCTCATTTGATTATTTTTTTGATTATTATTACACAGAGAATACTCTGTCTTTTATCCTGCTGTAATTATGGTGTCATTAAATCACAGCTGCAGATACTGACTGTTTTAAATTATAACAATAATGAGTATAATGAGTAAGTTTTATTCTAAAGTAAAATCAGGAAAGTTTCGCTCTAGACAAAAGGCCATAGTGTAAGGACCTTACCCGTTTTTTAAAGTACCAAATGGTCAAAGCTATAGCAAGGCAAAAAGGCCATGAAAACCTGAAAAGTAACCAGCATAATTGTAATGTCTTTTTTTAACATATTTGGAAGGCAGTGCAAATAAGCTAAAATAGGATTGATGATTGATCACAGTTCCTTGTTTAGGGATTGATCATGTTTTTGGAAATAATGACCAGGGAGGTCGGTCTGTCCAACAGGAAGCTGTAAGTGATCATATTAAAGGCTGTGCTTAGGAGAACAAGGCAGTGATATCGTCAGCAAACATCCTCATTGGTAACCCAGAGCAGGGAAATCTTAGTGCCTTTAGACCAGAAAGATAATAGTCTTTAAAAAAAATTATATTCCAGTGAATAAAGAAATTGCATTGTTGTTTTTCTGTTTTAGATCAACTATTTCTTGATGATTGGTCTACTGCAGACTCAAAGACAGTCATAGGCAAGGAAACTTGTAAAAACAGCCAGACCCATTTCTTTACTTTAGAAACAAAAAACAATGAGTGGTTGGAATCATTTTCAGTCATTTTGAACCATATATCTCTTTCCAGAAAGGTCACCTCAATGGGTCACATGTTGTCTGTTGGCATATTGTGAATAATATGATATTCTGACTGACGGCTGAAGGCAGATAACAACCCAGCTGGACAGACTGATTGTTGCCTCCTATTTTAAATTTTTTGGCTGGTGTGTGTTGACCATCCGTCTCTGTTGCATCATGCTCTGATGCTCTGTTTTTACCATACATTTGTTTTTCTGTTCATTCTGCCCATGCTCTGCAGCTGCTGGAGTCAAGGAGAACTAAGGTTTGTCCCTATGTTTGCACCACATGTTGTGTGCACAACATAGAGTCACCTGCAGTGTGGTGTGTTTTTCAGACACCTGGCAATCCCTTTGCACCATTACAACCTCCTCTCCTATGAACCTTTAAAAGAAATGAACATTTCCAGCAGTTAAGCCTGCATCCTTTTCTTGTGAAACCTCATATCTTCCCCTACAAATACTGTAAAACTATAAAGAGTGATAGGGTTGTTCAGTGGTGTGAATCCAAAAGTGTCTGGTGCTCCATCCCCCTGTAGTACAACAAACCCTGAAAGCCTAGTCTGCCTGTCATGTGGATCTTATTTCAGTTTAAGAATCTGTTTCCCCTCCTCCTTCTCCTGATTGGGTCACTTTCTGGGTGTAGATTGATTGCATTCTTGAAATATCTGCTGGAAGAAAATTTAAACAGTGGCAACCCAAATTCTTGGTCAATCTTTGACAGAAACTTAGCTCTAAGGTTGTTCCCCCAACACGGAACCAACACACCTACATACAATCAGATATTGAATCTAATAGTGTCTGTTAATGTTTGATTTAATTCTTGACACAAACAAACACCTGACATGTTGCTGGCCTATCAGGCTGAATGTCAGAGACCGAAGGCCCTTGGTTCACTGCAGTAAAGTATCAGGATGATCTCCAGCTTTAATAAGCTGTATAACAACTGCACATATTTTTCAGCTCACCAATAATAAATGCCGGAGTGAATTTTCCGATCTTTGATATATTTTAAAACATCTTACAGCTTTGTTTCTTGTTCCAGAAAAAAGAGAAGTGAGAATGTGTTCGACAGAATAAGTAGTTTACAGTCTGTTTGCCTCTAAAAAGAGGAAAGTGATATGCCCTCATGTTTGACCTGCATTTTTCTACAGACGCGTTGGGGAAAGTATTTCACAAGTATTGCATTGTTATCATCAAACACTTCTTACTGTTTTGTTCAATTTCAATAACTGTTCAGTCTGTCTATTCATGTGTCATGTATCAGCATCTCCAGATGACCATCCAGGCTCTGCAAGATGAGCTGCGGACACAGCGAGACCTGAACCACCTGCTGCAGCAGGAGAGCGGTAACCGCTCTGCCTCTGACCACTTTACCACCATTGAGCTGACAGAGGAGAACTTCCGTCGGCTGCAGGCCGAGCATGACAGACAGGCCAAGGAGCTGTTCCTGCTCAGAAAGACGCTGGAGGAGATGGAGCTGAGGATCGAGACCCAGAAGCAGACGCTGGGTGCCAGGGACGAGTCCATCAAGAAGCTGCTGGAGATGCTGCAGAGCAAAGGGCTTACCTCTGGCAGAGTGTCGGAGGAGGAGGAACAGGAGAGAGCGAGGCGCATTGCTGAGGCAGAGGCTCAGCTTGGACACCTGGAGGTCATCCTGGATCAGAAGGAGAAGGAGAACATCCATCTGCGAGAGGTAACTTTAACCAGTCATGTTAATATGGATATGTTGGATTCACTGTTTAAGACTTACACATGACTGTCTTCTTATTTGTCATCACTAGAGGGCACTGCTGAGTATGAAATGATCTGCTGCCTTTATTTGATCATATAAATAATTTACGTATGTGACAAGCTTAAGATGCATTACTCTGTATTTTTATTGAATGAAGATTGCTATAGGTTACGTTTTACTGATGCAAAATGCTGTTTTTTTCTGAAAGGAACTGCACAGAAGAAATCAGCTACATCAGGATCCAGGCAAAACCAAGGCCCTGCAGACCATCATAGAGATGAAAGTAAGAACCTCACTCACAACACAAAGCTTTAGGAATCCGCATGCAGCTTTCATCACAAGTCAAATTACCCACGTATTATTCCTCAAAGTCACGCCTCATGGAGTAAATAAGGGGGCAGCTTTATCCAGCTTCAGTTGTTTTTTTTCATTATATTTGATGAAGTTTCCTCTTGCTATGACTGTATACTAAAAAAAACAAGTTTAATCATGGACAGTCTGCTATGATGGTAAAATACTGATGTCTTATTCATGTGTGTTCAGGTCACAGGTTACTCCACCACTCGCTTGCCTGTCTAAACAGGCCTGTGACCTGTGTGTGTTCTACTGAATCTATTGTTGTCATTGTTATCATGAGCAGCTGGGTCAATAATAAACACAATGACACATCTCTTTATCTCCCCTGGCACAGAAACACAAACACACACACACACACACACACACACACACACACACACACACACACACACACACACACTCAAAGAAGTTGTGTAAACATCAACAAGAATCAATATTACTGTTCATGTTTCAGCCTACTTAGCGTGCCAGTCATGACAAGTGGCATTTCACTTTTTTAATGACAAGAAATAACGTGTTTTATTTCAGAAATCAAATATTCAACATTAGAGTCTGTGTGCCAGCATCACAGACTGCACTTCTATTATGTCAGCTTAGTTTTGAGCACATTAGCATTGTTTTTAGCGTGCTAATTATCATTGAAAGTCTCCACATAGGCTACTGTATGTCTGGCTGATTTATAACTAAACGTTTGAAAGGTATAAACATGTATATACTGTAATTGATAGTTGAGGTAGGTTTGTCATACATAACTGTCATCTTAGTTATTCATAATTTACATCGACTAGTTGAGTTGAATATCTTCAGTGAAGCACTTGGACAAACAGAATACAACAAGAATACGTATGTAATGTGTTATGTAACTTTACAGCTTCAGGTGAAATTATAGGGACATTAAAATATTTCTGCAAAAAAGGTCATATAAAGATAAAAAAGGAAAGATACTCTCAGATTGCATTTTCAGAGACCCCACCCATCACCAGTTTAGCTGGCTGAATCTCAAGAACCATTCTTTAAAACCCTGCAGCAGTTACGTGCAAGCATGCTTGTTTAGACGTCACTTTCGATCAACACATGTTGAACCACTGAACTGTAAAACATGTGTTGTAACACTGTACACACACCAACATCCTTACTGCAGAGGCATGACATCACTTCCTCAAAATAAATCATGACATCATCGTTGAGCTGACACAGCCCCTCTCACTCGGCTTGATCTGCACTGTGCAGGCCTTAGCCTTGGCTGCACGGCACAGTCATGTGACTTCTGTGCTCTGGGATCCTGTTGATTTGCATACAGAGCTACCTCCTCCTACTCTGTCTCTCGCTTCTCCTCCTCTTCTGTCCTGTGTCGGCAGACTCTGCATCTCTCCCAGCTGCTCTCTCCCTCTGCTGTGTTGATGCTGCTGCTGATGGAAGCACGAATAATCCCCCCTCCCTCCCACCTTCTCCTCCACACTCACCAGAGACAGTGCACAGTATATAGCCAGCCTGCTGCTGCTGCTGCCATGGAAACAGGTGTGGTTGTTTATGACAGTGAGAGGCCAGTATGCAAGAAGATTGATGGAAATAGAGACACACAGAGGCAGGGGAAAAGAGATAAAGAGCAAGATTTACTGACCAGGTCGATGATTATATGTGGATGGAATAAAATCTCCCTCCATTGAAGGTACGATGTCTTATATCTATTTCAGCGATGTTAGTTCATTGATGTTCGTCTCGTAACACCCGCTCTGAAGTGAGATGCAACTGCACGGTGAAGTGCATGTACATGTGCAGCGCTCATGTGTTGATGTTAACACCTTACATCCTTCTTTGATGGTCATTCCTCATTTTGATACATTACCCACATTCCCCTGAGGTGGTCTTTGACTGACCCAGCTGACGGCCACAAGTTCACAAGTTCAGAGCCACTAGGAGGGGAGAATGAGAGACACAAAAAGAGAGAAAGTGGGAGGAACAAGGTTGCTCCATGCTCTACTGGAGAGGTAGATCGACCATGTCTAATCTTAAAGACGTTGTATTATTTATTTAAAAAGCCGTGAAGCTAAAGCTGCACTCACAGTCGCAGTTCAGGGACTGGATTCTGCATTGATCTGCAAGCAACAACGCCAAAAACAACGTCTAGTTACTTTTCCTGCCTTCCCCTCTGCACGTTCCTCTCCGGTCCGGGCTGATCTCTCCTAGCTGGATGTGTGCTCAATATTTCCACATGGTGATTAATCCTCTGAGCCGCCGCCAGGAGCTGGGTAGACGCTTCTGATTTCACCGACAGATACTGCAGCTGCTCTCAGCCTCTACACAGAGATCTACCAGACTCTCTTCTTCTTTCTATAGCTCTCTCTTTCTGGTTATCTGTCTGTCTTTTAGCCTTGTTTTTATCAGTCTTTCAATCTGTCTGCTAGGACCCTAGTCTCTACTTCAGGGTTGATTTGCAGCATGCAACTTGTAGGCATGCCAGCCGAGGTTTTGAGGTGTGTCTCCTCTGCATGTTTGTGTGTAGGACACCAAAATTGCCTCTCTGGAGCGCAACATTCGGGATCTGGAGGATGAGATCCAAATGCTGAAGGCGAATGGATTACTGAACACAGAGGACAGAGAGGAAGAAATCAAACAGATGGAGGTCTACAAGAACCACTCTAAGTTTATGAAGACCAAGGTAGATACCGTCCGCTCCGTGCATGCTTCTGTAGAAATAAGGGTCATGTGAAAACATGGCTTACTGTAAATACACAAAGGACTGCACAGATAGACCTGTTCTGAGGTGAGACCGCTAAATTAAGATGCGTGTCGCTTAAATTAGCTGCATTAACATTTAGTTTCATCAGCAAAGTGTACTACTGGCAACAATCCAAGAGGTGCTTTCCTCTCAGAGGAGCTTAGAGTCAAGAATTGCAAAAAAAAGGCAAAATCAGCAAGTGCATGTTATAGAATGATAAACTACTGAACTTTTTGTCCTTAATCTTTAACAAAAGGGATTATCTTTCTAATTCTGATGGCAAGAGACAGTTAAAAAACTTTTTTTTTAAAATTCTTAAGCCCAAAAATTCAAAGTATCACTTTACCTGCTTCATTTTTTAGATCAGTCAGTGTTTTGATCAGCCCACACTGCAGGATGAATCGTGTTTTCAGCTGCTAGGTGTCAGTCGATCTAGCTTCCCTGTCAAGACACTAGCAAACAGAAGCTACACTAAAATCTGTAACCGTGTCTCAGTATGTATCTGCCACTCTCTGGCTATGTGTCCTCCAAGAGCTTTGACACTGTGTTTACTTCCTGCTCCTTATATTAGTCAACCAGGCACCGACCAGCTACAGTTTTGTTTTTTCTATTTATAGACCTCTTTTCATCAATCATGTATGGAGATGATGTATAATATATGACAAATGCAGGGGAGTCAGTCCCAAATGCATATTTAATGAGAGAAAAGTGTGTTGATGAAAATAGTACAAACCCTGTGCTGACTCGCTCGCTGTCTCTATCAGGCAACCATATGTATACACACACACACACACACACACACACACACACACACACACACACACACACACACACACACACACACACACACGGTAAACGTCATAATGCTGATGTAACTGGTTGTTCTTGTTGTGCGTTTCATATGCATGCAGATTGACCAGCTAAAGCAGGAGCTGTCCAAAAAGGAGTCAGAACTGCTGGCTCTGCAGACAAAACTAGAAACCCTCAACAACCAGAACTCCGACTGCAAACAGCACATCGAGGTGCTCAAAGAGTCTCTCACTGCCAAAGAACAACGTGCTGCCATTCTGCAAACAGAGGTGATGAAAAGCCCTTCATTTGTTTGTACACACACGGTAAATCAACCCAACAATACCATGCCGCACAAGGATTTTCATGAGCCAAAGCTGGGCAAATATGAGAGCTTCCCTAGGCCTGAAGCTTATTACTGTAACTTATACAAGCTCTTTATTTACTTTTGGACTTAAAACGAACTGAGCTGTGGCTCCAAAGAAACAGTTCCACACTACTATCATGGTGCCTCTAATACACATCAAATACACTGAAAGCTAGACTGATGAATAAACAACTGGGGAGGTATTACACAAAATCTGATGCACTCATCGTAGATCATCAGAAACTGCTTAATATTTGCTTACCTCCCATGTATATACAAATATATATATTTTACAGTTTCATGGACACTGAACGACTATAACCAATGGAAAGGTGTTGACATTATTGGGATTTCACTAACTTATTTAAAGTGAAACCAGCCTTTCTTTTACTTGCTCGAGTATTTAGACTTCCTCTCAGGTGATTTGGGCTGTTTTGTGCTTCAGGTTGATGCTCTGCGTCTGCGTCTGGAGGAGAAGGAGTCCTTTCTGAACAAGAAAACCAAGCAGCTGCAGGACCTGACAGAAGAGAAGGGCACTCTCGCTGGAGAAATAAGGGACATGAAGGACATGCTGGAGGTCAAAGAAAGGAAGATCAACGTCCTGCAGAAGAAGGTGAGAATGACTTGACCATCTTAAGGAAGCTTGAAGGCAATTTATCGTCAGAAAGAGGGGATTCAAAACGAGACACGTTTCTTTGAAAAAGTATAAAGCATTTCCAAGGTGTTACGTATCTGTTTACTGTACTTATCAATGAACTATGGTAAGAAGATCGAGGTCTGAGTAAATATGCTCCTGATGTAATATGAAATTAGAAATAAACAACACGGAATGGTGCGAGTTGTTCAGTCAGATTCAGATGTCCTGGACTAAAACAGCCACTGTGTGAAAATAGAAAGCCGAGCGGTTACTGTCTCCATTAAGAGTAAGAGTCTGTGTCGCTCTCAGAGGGAAAGTGTCCATAGAAAGACAAGCAAGAAGATATTTCTGCCTCACTGGCTCCTGTGTATGTGTGTGTGCTATAAATACTCTCATGAGTGTTACTCCCTCTCTCACCCTGAGCCACTCACCCTTTCTCATTGCTTTTTTTCCCATCACACCTCCTCTCCAACATCACTCCACTTTTATCTCTTTTTGTCATCTCTCGTGACTACTACATCTTTGTATTCCTCAGATGTGGTTATTTGCTTGAGTTTCTCTGTTGTGTGCTAAATCAGGGCACGTGTTTGACTGTCTCATGGAGGTTTCATACACAATTTCTCTCTGCTCACAGTTGACAGCTTTATTTTTGTTGAATTCTATTCAGATTTTTAAACTCTTCTTTAAAGTCTGCCAGTTTGGTTGTGTTTCTTCCTGGAAAGGAAAGGGCTCAGCACATTTCAAACTTTTAACATGACAGTGTCTGCTGAGGGAATTAAACTTCAAAGACTTTAGTAATCTCCAAGTCCAGCTGTAACACCAACTTCAAATTCTGCTTTGGTTTTGAGATCATACAATGTACCTCTGTTTCTGTGTGTCTCCTCCTTCCCTGTCAGATTGAGAACCTGCAGGAGCAGCTGCGGGACAAAGACAAGCAGCTGGGAAACCTGAAGGACAGGGTCAAGTCTCTGCAGACCGACTCCAGTAACACAGACACTGCCCTGGCCACCCTGGAGGAGGCGCTGTCAGAGAAGGTATGCAGCAGCACTGAAGTATAAGGATATAAACGTGAATGTGAATGGATTCAAAGTCACAAAATCCCAGTGCCCATCCCACTGACATAACTCAGGTTTGAAGAGTTCAGGGTCTGAGTTCATCAGAAGTGTTGTACATTAAGAAAAAGTTCAACATTTTTTGAAATCCAGGTTTTTGCTTTATGAGCGACTTTAAATGAAGTTGGCAGGCTTTAAAGCGTCTTTATGAGACTGCCAAAGGGACGTGACAATCATCAGTATTTGCCAGTCTTTGAATTTGAATGGACTCCCACTGCTTTCTCTCTCGCAGCAGTTTTGTGTTCAAAATATGACTGATCATCTGTAGTTTTAAAGCTAAGCTACTATTGATCATTAACAAAGATGGTATTGTTTCAAAGTATCGAAATATTCAGGTATAACATTTTATGACAACCTTAGCTAGCATATGATAACCTTAGTTAGCGAGCTGCTGCTGTTTGTTTCTTACTTGAGGTCATCATGTACAGACATGACGGGTATCAATCTTCTTGTCTTACTCTCACCAAGAAAGGTGATCAGTGCACATCCGTAAGGCTTCTTGTAATCAAAGGTCAAAGTCAAAACATTTCAGTCTTACTCTTTGGCCTGCTTGCAGACTAATGCTTGATGTTGTTATTTTGTGTCATTCACAAGATTTTGGAATTGAGAATGAGCAAAGGTTAACTTTTGTTTTGAATTTATTGATCTTTTCTGTCCCTAATTGACCTTTTCAGAATTAATTAATCAATCATTTTTACAAAACAATTCACACAGTGTTTCTCTTGTCCTTCGCTGTTAGTTGCTTAATAAATTGGTCTTATTGCGAACATATTACCAACATATTTGGAGCATTTTTGAGTGATATTCTTTTAATTCTGTCGTTTGTGTGTGTTAGGAGAGGATTATTGAGCGTTTAAAGGACCAAAGAGAGAGGGAAGACAGAGAACGTCTAGAAGAAGTGGACTCGTATAAAAAGGAAAACAAGGATCTGAAGGAGAAGGTCAACAGCCTGCAGATAGAGTTAACTGATAAAGAGGTGAGTAAGTATGCAGGGAGCATAGGTAGTAAGAGAGGTGTGTCTATATGATTGCATATTATTAAACAGATGTGCCTTTATGGTTCTCTACGGCCTTTCTGTAACATTGAAACCCCATGTTTTGACCACCTGCAGTCGAGTCTCATCGATTTGAAGGAACATGCTTCATCTCTGGCGTCTTCTGGCCTGAAGAAAGATTCGAAGCTGAAGTCGCTGGAGATCGCCATCGAGCAGAAAAAAGAGGAGTGTAGTAAGTTGGAGACGCAGTTGCAGAAGGTAAGTGTGAGTCATATAAATACAGACTAATGTATGAATCTGAATTTTGTAAAACAGATTACTCGTTCTGGAGACTAATCCCAGATCCAAAGGGCCTTGAATATTTGTTTGGTTTTCAAAATGTTTTGTCAAATGTTTTGTATTTTGTCTTTAATTTATGTTGTGAATGGAGCTGCTGTGAGGCAAGTCAAAAACTTTGACAAATCAGTTTCAATCAATCAATCAATCAATCAATCAATCAATCAATCAATCAATCAATCAATCAATCAATCAATCAATCAATCAATCAATCAATCAATCAATCAAGAGTTACTTGATTAAAAATTCTTAATTAATTTTTTTAAATACAGACATTTTCTTTATTTTACAGTCAGCACATCTGAGCAAGTGCACAAAAACATCAATCATGAAGGCATGATGTTTACATCCTATAAGTATTTTGGACACAGCAGTTATTTAACACTATGCAGATAAGTTTCTCTCCACATTCATCCTCAGCTGTGTTACATTCTGACTCAAAGTTCTGTCTTTAAGTGTTGTTGCAGTTAAAATGGAGTAATAGCGGCAATCTCAGCTGTGGGCAAACCCCTCCACAGTTCATACAAGCTAACATGTGACACCACAGCAAATGTTTGAACAAATAACAGTAGTTGGTTGATGTAGTTTTTCTCCAGCATCTCCGATTAATTTTGTGGTCATGTTTTTTTTTTTGCCAGTCCATGTTTTCAAGGTGATTCATTAACTCCCTGTCTTTGATTCTTTAGGATTTTACATGAAATGAATCATTTATATTTATGAGGAAAAGAATAAATATGGGTGATGAGTTTCAAACAGATAATTGTGAGAGGTTCAGGACAATAGTGACCTATTCTTGTAGTGAAACACAGTTTTCTTCTGTTTAATGTTTTGACTTTGGCTGAACTGTGGAGAGCGTCTTTGCTCTAGAAGGCTGTAGAAGTATTCCTCATTAACTGCACTGAACTGTAGCTAAAAAGCTTAAGCTGAGTGCCCACACGTAAGAAAGGAATTAACTCACCCACACTTGAATGGAGACTATTAGGTAGTGACAGACTCCATCGTTTCTTTGTTGTTGTTCTGAGAGAAAAAAGAGTTGAGCTAAAAGCTGAGTTCGTGTTATTTCCAGCTCATACATGAAGACTTTAATTAACTGCCATCTTTCATGAAACTTACTCAGTTTTTAAAAAATGTAACTACTCTTATTATCAATATTATCTTGACAGATCCACAAAAGTCAGTCTCTCTTGTATGAAAGCACAGTTAATTAAGAAAATGGGTACATTCATTCTTTTTTTCTCCTGTAAAAAGCTGCATTGCTTTGTTAAGCTCCTGCAGGGAGTAGCCTCTTCATTAAATACCCTCCTCCATGATCCACAAGCTCTCCTTTTGTTTGTTCCTCTGCATTTGTACATCATGTAATGTCTTTAACCTGTACCAACATGTGCTGTACTGAGACTATGTTGCTGTCGAACATGTGTTGTAACATGTCTGATCCTGCTGTTCTCTCCTCTGGCTCAAACTAAATCCTAATACTTACTCTCCTGGGTTCCCCCCCCCCCTCCATCCTGACCCCCTCGACCTGACTCCCCTCCTCAACTCGTCCGTTTGCAATGTAGCAAGCTGAGCAGCTTTTCAGTCACATGAACAATCCTGTAAGTCCCACTCCTGAGCGCTCTGAGGCACATATTGAAAGCATGAGGACACTGAGTACTTCTGTAAAAAATGCTAGATGGTGATCATGCCAGCCCCCCCCCCCCCCCCCAAGAAAAGGTTCTGCTTTCACCCACCAACCCGCCAAGATGCATGCTGGTCATCGCACTGTACTGATATAATGAGCTTTAAAGTGCACTCAGAGGCATTCTGCAACTGTTTGTGTTTGTGACACGTGGTGACACTGGCGCTACATACAAAGTTTTTAAGTTCACCTTATCAGCTCTTTGGAATTGTTCACTGTAAATATTTATTTGTAAGTTTAACTGTGGCTCTCTGGTTGCTTTTTCTATGATAGTTTGTTTGATCACACTTACAATTTAGAAAAGAAGCTTTTCACACTAACATCCTAAATGTATGGAAAGGTATACTGTACATCCCAGAGCATCTACCCATGTTTGTCATGCAGGACCATGAGAAATGTTGCTAAAAGTCTGGCTTTTAAAGGTCGAATTGCATCAAGTCTCAGTCTAATTTCTTCATATCCTATGAAAACTTGAAAAAAAAGTAAATATGAAAAAGTATGAGGATACATATATTTTTTAATGTTTTTAAGGAATCATAGCCTTTATATTTTCTTAATCTCCATGTGTAGCATCACATTTTTTAATCTGATAACAAACACATGTATCTTTCATATCAGTCATTTATATCTTTATATATGATTTTTATTTTTAAGAAGCTTCATAAAATTGTATGTAAAGCATTATTCTTTCATGGTCATGGATTTTTTTTATGATACTTTTTTTAACAACAGCAACATTTCCTTGTATCAGATGACAAATCAATACATAAAGCAGTATTCTATTACCATTAAAATAGACTCGTACCAAAGCCATCAAAAAGTGAAGGTCATACAACCCTCATAACCATCAGAACCCCCATCTTTAGCAAAATGTTAATGTTGTAATTGGACACAGTAATTTTGATTTAAGTTTTAAATAAAGTATTTTTAATATACTTTCATTTGTATTACGTCAATCTAAAATTACTATTAATTATATTATTTAAAGAGTTTTACTCATTGAGAAAAAAGTTCCTACAAGTTAAAACCCTGACATTGCTCCTCATGCTTGAAATATGCAACTTACTGTTAGCAGACGGTGGTCCCTACTACTTTGTTTCTCCATTTTTGTCTGACAATCACAGAGACTGTGAAGCTTTGTTGGGTTTGCATGAAAATGTCGACCTTGTTGCATGTTGTCACTGTCAGTGTTGCCAGGCTTTTCTCTTGTCTCAGTGTGGTGCGGTCAGCTGATGTATCAGCCCGTGGTTGGAGATCACTGCAGTGTTTTGGTGGATGCTCTCTTGTTCTGTTTAAATCTTGCACTTCAGCGAAACTGTGTTGACATGTGTGGCTGCATATTGTCTTGAGGGTAATGTGTATCACTTTAATGAACTTCATTGGGAGTTTCAAACTATCTAAATAATAGTGATATTAAGCCACATTTCCACCAAAGGAAATACCAAGGACTTTTTGAGCCGGGAACTAAATTTGAAAAATCATTTCACTCCCAGAGACCATTTTTTTCAAGCCCTTTGTTCCCGTCTGTACCTAAATTATATAGCAGTGCTGCCGTGTGGGGTATTTGTTAAATAATTTGACAACAAGGAGTAGTTTCAAGTTTTGGCTTTTGTTTGTGATTGACTACTTTGCAATTTGGTTAAGTGAATCAACATTGGAAAGAGATCCCCACCTTAACCCACAAGAAGCTTTGAGCATACCTGTTCATAGTCAGATATTTTTTTTTAAATAGTGGCTGGAAAAAAAACGAATGCACAACCAGTAAATAACATTTAGCGCTGCAAAACTGGCCTCAAAGTTCTTGTAGTCTTGGAAAGTACCATTTCCACAAGCAGGGACTTTTTCTGGTTGTTGGGAAACTTGCACAGAATGTCATTTAGACTCTTGCATTACATGGAAGTTCACTCAAAGGTTCTGGTCCCTGGGGAATGCTTTTGTGGTGGAAACGTGACTTTTGTCCATAGTGATCCAGCAGTTAACGTCTGACCAGCTTGTGTCAGAAAGCCCATTAGACAGACTCATGAGTAACATTTTGGTAGCACAAGTTTGTTACCATTATTGGTACAAAGACAGACAGTCAGACACACACACACACACACACACACACACACACACACACACACACACACACACACACACACACACACACAGACACACAAATGCATTCAGCTAACTATTCTATATACATTCAATATGCAAAGTGACTGGGAGTCTCAGAAGGCCATTTAATGGAGCTAAATAATTGCTCTGTTAAAGATAATGAGCCATCACAACCATTAATGATGCCCTTGCCCACAACATTTTACTCTGCTTCATTCATTAAGAAAGACAGAGAGGGAGGAAGGAGAGAGTGCGAGAGAGTAGTTAATAAAATACACAGATGGACTGAAATGTGGCCAGAGTGTGTATCTCCTTGCTGTCCGCAGTAAAGACCTCTGTGCTGTAACTGCGTGGTTGTGCTAATATTATAATGTTAACTGAGTTTGTCTTTGTGTGTGTGCATTTTTGTGTGTCTGTTTGGGTCTCTCCCAAACTCTCTTTGGCATGTGGAATGCAGAAAGCCCACGAGGTGGATCATCAGTCGGGCTCCAGAGGAAACCCGGAGTACGTGGACCGAGTGAAGCTGCTGGAGAAGGAGGTGAGCTACTACAAGGACGAGGCCAACAAGGCTCAGACGGAGACAGAGAGACTCCTGGACATCCTGCGAGAGGTGGAGACGGAAAAGAATGATAAGGACAAGAAGATCGCTGAGTTGGAAAGGTAGTGAACTCTTAACTAAAGTATTCAGTAACAGTATTCAAAATGAATGGAAAATGCTTCATTTCTCACTCTTTTTAACTAAATGGTATCCAAGCTTTCTTCCTTTTAATGAAAATCACCAACAAAATTCCCTGAGCAGATGATGTTATTTTAGCATTTCGAGTAAAAGCAGCCTTTACTGTTAATATGCAGAACATTAAGTAGTGATCAGTGAAAATAGCACACATACATTTTGTAACCTTTAAAGTATACAGTTCTTTTGTTCTACGTGTCGTGAGTGAGCTTCCTTGTGCTTCTGTGTACATGCAGTATTCTGCAATTTTCCTGTTGTTGTGTGTAAGCGTGTCCAGCACTGTGAACTGGATCCAGTCATGGTACACTCTTAGTAGAACACCTGTCAGGGATCACTGTTGCTGCTGTGTGTTGAGATACACCAGAAACTCTGTGTAATTCTTCAACACTGTGCTAGATGTCACTCAGCCCGACCCCTCAAAGGACAGAGGTCACACTGATAACAGTTATTGGACACATACATAAAGCTTGTGGCCTCATCAGCTCTTGGCTCACCTCTCAGTGCACTATGTGGTCTAGTGTCTCCACACTGACAGCAGCTTTTGGATTTGGCTTTGTTGTTGGACAAGACCATCCTCATCTCACAGGAAAGACTGAGACAGAGATCAGTCAGAGTGAACGAGAACTGTATGAGCACATGTCCACCAATGACAAGCCCATTCAACTTCAGAAGTCCCAGTCCCACCACCTCATGTTGAAAACAGTTATATTTTACCTTCCCAGCCTTAAATAATGGCCATTTTGTTTCAGTGTCATGCTAATTTGTTGGTGGTGTTGAATTAACTGAGTCTTCTTGTCCTTTTTTTTGCCATCTTTACCCACTTTTTTCTGTCCCGTTCCTCTATCTTCTCTTTCACACCCACCTGTCTCTCTTTTTTCCCCTCTGCCATTGAACACTTTCAACCTCGGTTCCACACAACTCTTTCTCTGTTGTACTCCCCTCCTCCTTCCCGACACCAGCCCCCCTCCCTCTTTCCCTCGCCCTACCCCTCGTCCCGGTGGCAGAGCTCCCCCTGACCCGCTCCCTTCTGTGTCCGCTGCTCCTCAGCAGATAGGGGGCATGGTGTGGGATTTCCTGGGAAAGTGAGTGCTCTGCCCTGGCACTTCAGCTCGGCTGCGTGGTTAAAGTCTCCGACTGCGACTGCTGCAACTGCTTCTGGTTTCACATGTGTGCCTGGGTCTGCCTGCTGTCTGAAGCATTCACAGATTTTTGTATCACAGTGTCTTTGCTGTTAGTGAGTTCTTGTACACGTGATACAAAGATCACTGGATACATGTTTGCTTTTATTTCTTTGGCATGTTTTTGCTTTGTTTTTACATGTATTCCTATGTGCTGTGAAATTATTTTTTGATTAGTCTAAGTTAGAGATTTTGTACGAGAGTTTTATGCTGCACGTTTATTTTCTCTGCATGTTGTATCTGCCATCTATCTGTACTGACAGAGAAGGGAATTAAGTACACAAAGATTTTCTTGTGTGTCAAATCACATTACAGTCAACAAAAGCAGCAGCAAATCATAGTGGTATAAATTATAAATACGGCCTGATTACTGTATGTTTGAAGAAATAAAATTCTAACTGCGCCGATTCAGAACTATCTTAAAATATATGTCAGTGATGTATTTTCTCTGCTAATTCTTTGATTCCCTAAACAGTAGACATGACTTCACTTAGGGAACCCCTGTTCAAAGTAACATCTCTTCTGCTGTTACTTCATACTGGGGATCCTGTTGTTTCTGTATGGCAACATCACACAAAAACAATCACACGAAGGAATAGAGCAAAAATAACAACCACATCTTACCAACAAAATTGTAAAGAATATTTTACAATTAAAATAAAAGCCCTAATTTGAAAAATCTTCCCTTGTAGTAATACTGTAAATACTTCACTATATACAGTGTTATAAGCAGTCTGTAGAGTTTGTAAAACTTGGTGTGATTTTCCCAAACGCTCCCTCTTTCTTCTGCAATTTTAATTTTCTGTACTGTAATTTTTGTCCCTCTGTGTTCTTGGTGGACTATCAATATATGTGCACACCATCAATCTTGCTGACACACGCATACACACGCATACACACACATACACACACATACACACGCATACACACACACTTGTTTGTGTCTTTTTGTAGTGTTGGCTGTTTGTTGTAGCTTGTGTAGGAAGTTTGTGTGTTTAGAGCTGAGGCCTCCTCCTGCCATGAGCACGCTTCCCCTGTGCATTCCATCCACCCATCTGCCCCCCTTCCCCTACATCACCCTCTCTCTCTAACTCTCAGTCCACCTTGCAAATCGTCCCAGTAACACCACTCGACAGCTCCGTTCTTTCCTAACAATCTTTCCCAGTGCCCACCTCCTTGCTCTTCCTTCCAATCCACCCTGCCCCGCCCTTCCTCGCTTGATCGACCAGACACTAAGGGAAATGATCATTCTAGTGGCCTGCATGAATAGAGCTGCTGTGCTCCAGGTCTACACGCGCTCAGTAAGTGAGGTGCTGTAGTAGGTAGGGTCCGGACTGAACCCTCGGTCCTGAAGTGTGTCAGTCCAGTCGGGTCTCTTTTTGTCTGAAGAACCCTGCATCCATAACTGATTCTCTTGCTCCTACTCGTTGTCAAACCACTTTTTGGCTTCCCCTGCCTTCTGCTAGGCTCTGAGACCCTCCCTCCCCCTTCTTCCTCCCCTCTTCCTTTGCCCGGCTGATTTCTGCCTGTCTGACTGCATGCCATTCCCAGGCTTGACAGTAGATGCAAATGGTTCCATGTTTTCAGAGAAGGTACATCCTGCATTAGCTGTGACAGGCTGCAGTCACAGGCTACTTTGTAGTCTCCCAGTTTGTTTGACAAGAAACACTGGGATCTCCTCTGGGTCCTCTGTATTGTTTTTTGTTGTTGTTGTCTCTTTATGTTCTGGTTCTAATGTCTCTTTTTTTTTTTTTTTTTTTACTTTTGTCCTTCGTGTGCTCTCTTCTGCTGCCTTCAATGTCTCCTAAACTTGTTTCGTCACCCCCCTTTCTTCTATCTTTACCTCCCCCTCTCTGCAGTCTAGCTCCTAGGTAAGTTATGCCCCTCCCCCTTCAGCGCGTTCATTTCTACCTCTGTCCATCCCATCCTAACTCTGGTGCTCTAACCTTTAAGCCATGACAACAATGTCATTTTAACATGAGGCAATCAATTCATGTCTGATGCTCATGTCTGTTGCTGTCCCGGTGATGTCATGATTGGTACTATTTTGAAACAGGATTTATTCAAAATGCCCATGGTGGTCCATCCCGCTGTATTTGCTCTACGTGTGTTTATTGATTCTGATATATGGGTTTATATTGTATCCTACTCACATATCTACTAACTTCAATTAAAACCGTTGCCCCTAGAATTAAAGTTGAATATCTGGTTCACACAATGATATTCAGAAGAACTGGTAAAGGAACAATCTTAAGGTTTTGTGATTTTACAGACAAGGAGGCAAAGACCTGACAAAGAAGGGGCCAAACATCAAACTGGGACCACAAGGGGACAAGAAAGGTTTAGGACAAGACCTTCGTAAGGATGGCACCATGGATGGTGGCCACCACTCAAAGGTACGGGTTAACTCTTAAAAGCCAACAAGTGTTCCACTCAGCACCACGAACTGGATTCAAATAAAAAATGTATATGTGATTTTCAGGGGCATGTCCAAACTTTTTTTTTAACTGGGGTGGCCCACCTCGGGCACTGACTTATTCAGGAGTGGCATGAAGTTTGTGGGCACACGCGCACAAATAACATCATTTTTTTACCCTTTCTATTACCACTCATGATACGTACTTATTAGTAACACAATTTGGCAACAGATAAATCTTCTCAGCTTGATTATTTAGGGACTTAAAAACAAAGATGTGTAAAGTCACAATATACTTAAAAAAATGAATGCTTACTCTTGCACACTGTTTAACTTGAACAAATACATTTATTGGCACTCAAGTCCATTGCAAGTTAGACACTGTGCACATGTTTTTTCTTGAAAAATTGTATGCAAAAGCAAAGTATTAATTAACCATAAGCCTGCTGAAAACAGCCAGAATAGTTGATTTGAACCGAAGTACCACTTCTGATTAGGCAAATAGCTTATCAGAGATTTGGATTTTGGGGTGGCACCTGGGGTGGCCAATCAAATTTCAAGGGGGGCCCATGCCACCCTTCTGACCAAGCCCCTTGTGATTTTTAATGATTAAGTCAGGTGTTCTCATATAATGATGGTTTTCATCAGTTGGAGGAGCTGATGAGCACTCTGGAGAGGACGAGGCAGGAGCTGGATTCCACCAAGCAGCGTCTCTCCTCCACACAGCAGTCACTGCAGGAGAGGGACACACACCTCACCAACATGAGACAAGATCGCAGGAAACAGCTGGAGGAGATCCTAGAAATGAAGTAAGCTCTCTTGTTGTGTCTCTTGAGTATGCATTACTACCTTTTCTGGAAAAGTAGACCGTTTCCCCCCTTCCAATCCACGTTAATAAGTGGTAGAAGTGGATGCAGCTTCCAAGAATCAAATATTAGTTGTTGTGAACTTCCATTGGTAAGCCTTGAGTTCAGGATTTTGAATTGTTTTGTAAAACCAGAAATGACCATATCTGAATGACAGGGTGGATGGCTACGCCTTATTACATCAATTGAGATTTATTATTGAGAGTTCACACTTGTTTTTCAACAAGTACAGTCATCCCCTGCTGGCCATGAGATAGATGTCAGGTATAACATAGAATTTTAAACCACTTTGGTTTCACTTTTGAAACCAATGGTGTCATCCACATCTTATACAGTTTGCATATAGTGCCTTTGTTGTAGATACATTTGAGGCATTCAAATCATGTAAATAACTACTGTAATTTAAAAGTCCTTGTGTATTTAATCAGGCCTATCAGTTCACAGAGGCACTTGAACAGCATCTGGCAAGTGTTTGAATTGCTCCATTAAATTGCCCACCTACCATATTTATCATTTATGAAATGTTCTTCCTTATTTCAAAACAAAAGTTCAGATGGCCAAATGGTTTTTAACTCTTTTAGGCAACAAGCTCTGCTGGCAGCCATCAGTGAGAAAGATGCTAATATTGCACTACTGGAACTTTCTGCCTCCAATAAAAAGAAGACCCAGGACGAAGTGCTGTCCCTCAAGAGGGAGCGGGACAAACTGATGCACCAGCTCAAACAGCACGTAAGTACTGCAGCACAGTGTCAGAGAATATGCAGTCTATGTCTAAGTCTGTATCTCATTGCCAAGGCAACATTAATCACAATGAAAAATAAAGCTGTAGAAGGAACCTAGCCATATTTCCATTTCATCTGCCGAGAGTGGTGCGCATGCATGCTCACAGATTCTCTGTGCTGCTCTAGTTTTGGCGCTATTCCCAATGTTAGCATCTAATTTTGCAGCATGAGTCAGGGCTACTTTTATATCTTTTTGGGCCGCTTAAAGCTTGAGTCATTCTAAAGAGCTACAAATCAAGCTACAAGCTTTCATTAGCAAAGTGCCAGGTGAATGCTACTTTTTTTCTGACCATGAATATACATTTCACATCAGCGTGGATATTTTGCTACAAGCAATGTGTGTTTTTGCAACGCGTAATGTCAAATTCATACTAAAGCCTTATAATCTATTATTCAAGATGTGTTCATTAGGTCAAACATTGAGTCTTAAATGTTTTTGCTTTCAAGCTTCAAGTCATGTCAGGTATTCAAGGAGTCAAGTCTCAAGTAAGTAGAAACATCCAGCCGTCAAGCCCAAGTCAGGACCCAAGTCTTCTTTTTTTTTTCTTTACTTGAGTCTCTTTAGAGGAACTCGGGTGGTAACTATACAATATACATGTCTTAAAAATGACGATGCCTAAGATGATAAGATAGTCACTAACGCTAGCCTCCTCCCTCCACCACAACCTTTTAAATATATAATATCATGTGAGTGAGGCAGTAGATTTGTTTTCCCTGTTCAAGCTTATCAACTGATTGTTGCTTTTGCATATCTTTTTTGGTTTTAACAAAAATATGGGACCTTTCCCCAAATGTTCTTTTATCTTCAAAATCTAGATATCCTTCAGAATGACTACACATATTAATCACCAGTTGACACAGTGTGAAGACTAAAAAAAGCAAAGTTAAAGCCTAAAGTGTGTTTGTTCCTATGATGATGCATTTTAATACATTGTAAGGTATTGCTGTTTAAATCAAGACCCACATATACTTAAAATAATAATCATGATTTTCTATTAAATCATTTCTTCTCTCATCTTCCCGCAGACACAGAGTCGAATGAAGCTGATCGCAGACAACTATGAAGACGAGCAGTATCACCCACACGGTCCTCACCACCCACAGCCGCAGCCCACCCACGCACAGCCTCAGCCCCAGCCCCAGTACCCCCATGCTCCCCACGCCCAGCAGACTCCATACTCACACACCATGCATCCACAACATCAACAGCACCCACAGGCCCCCGCACAGCACCCGCACCCACAGCAGCCACAACCCCAGTACCCACACCCTGCCCACTCGCAGCACCCCCAGCAACACCCCCAGCAACACCCCCAGCAACATCCCCAGCAACATCCCCAGCAACATCCTCAGCAACATCCCCCAACCACCTCCCCAGCACCAACAGCATCAACAACAACAGCACCCACGTCCCCAACAGCCCCAGCACCCTCACCAGCAGCACCCACAGCATCCTCAGCAGCACCCACATGGACATCCTCCACAGCAGCACCCTCACCCACAGCACCCACATGGCCCTGCGCAACAAGGACCCCATCCACAACATCCACATCCCCAGCATCCTCAGCACCCACAGCACCCACACCATGCCCAGCATCCACGTCACCCGTCGCCCCATCATCGTGGAGGGCCTGCCAGAGGACCCCCGCACGCTGGTCACCGTCCCAACCAGGACCAGGTGAGGTGTCTTCCATCACAAACATAACATCACAAATTCCCACGAAATTCTCTAGTTACTTCAACATCATTGACACATTTAGATGAAATCTTTTTAAGTAGGCCCCTAAAGCATCTTCTGCATCAAAGAAAGACGTTGAAGCTTTCCATTTACAGCCTGATTTTAGTCCTTTTGACTGCAGAGTTTACGTTCTCTCAAAACTTGATGAGAACTAAGGCGCATTACAATTTCTGTTATTAGCAAAGAGATGAGGTGTACCTCTTTGTCCACAGGGGTCACCAAGATGAAATGAAAGTTTCTCACGGTAGCTTTAATGTATTTCCTGTGTCACAAATCTCTCGACCTCTTGTTCAGAGTTGCTTTTCTGACTGTTGATAAATCAGTATTATATTAAGTTAAGTTATAGCATGCTGTTACTATTACTTTGACAATACCTGGGACATCATTTGTTTTGAGCAGGGTTTGTTCCTCACTTTTTATTATTGTCGTTCAGTGTTGATTTAGGAAAATATTTGTTGAAAAATGGTATTGAAAATAAACAGTTAAAGAAATGATAGAAGTCAACAAACTCTGGAGCATTGTTGGTTCTAACTATGGTACTGTAGGGAGCTGCAGCAATCACTTTCTTGTGATGCAAATTCATACGATTCAAAGTATAGCCTTATACTAGCTGTGCCTAAAGCTGCACTGTAACTAGGAATTACATTAATACATTTTTTGCTGCTTTAACTTTAAATAATCTTTTTAAATTATGCCTATGCCAGTGTCTGATTACTTTTCTCCTTTCTTGCATATTTTAGGATGACGACGAGGGCATTTGGGCATAATCCCAGCTGTGACAACCAAAGCTCTGATGTTGTTTTGAGGGGTGAGATAAATTTAAGACTTACACATTGATATGATTCGCCTGCATTTTAAAACAAAATGTTGTTACATCTCCTATATTTAGATGATTCAGTCACTACTGGAGGAGCACAGCAATGCCATGATGTTGAAACACCACCCGACCAAACATTTATTACCTCCACCTAATCAACACTCAGCTATGGGACCTTTTTTTCCGATGGGAGAGGAGAGGGCACTCAGGTGTGCAGGTCATGCGGGGAGACCGACAGCTCAGCAGGTAATGTAACGAATCAGGAAACACATTGTGTATACTACCATGAAAATGCATTATTGAAACTGCTTTCTCTTATGCATCCCTGAAAAGTTCTAGAACAGGTCTTTATTCACATATGTATCCCACGGCATGACGTTTTCCCTGAAAGACGGGAGAGGGTTCTGGGGAGGTGGGACATAAAAAGGAGACTGCAGTAATAATCTTAACAAGATATCCAAGATGGCAGGCAAAGTGTAGTCTTACGCTTTTCATAGCTTTGGAGTGACATCACACACTTATGGAACAACCCACCTGACGACTGTAGACTTTCCTCCTACAACAGTGTAAGGAGAAGGATTCTCCATGAATATAACGTCACTAGAGTGATGTTCTGTTGTGACTTTCAGACAAATGCGACTGAAAGTGTCCCAACAAGTGCCTCTGTGTTTGGCTTCTGGATTATTATGATATCAGAAATACTTATTAGATATCAAAAGCTAAACAAGGAGGCATTCGTTCAGCCATTCAGTCTGACAACCACGGGCACATTCAACTGAAAGTTGCTAGTTACCATGGTAACTCTTAAAACTGTAATACCGGCAAGAACTTTTCTAGCGATTGGCATAGTGTTGTGTTTACTCTATATGGGTTGCAAGAGCCCAAAACTCACAGGCTATCTTAATATCTCTGTTTTACTTCAGTTGTCAGGTGATGTAAACGTGTCGTTTTGAAAAGATGGAAAACTAAAAAGCCTCCTACTTTATTAATCTCATTTTGCAGAAAGAGTGAAGAAGAACATTCTGGCGAGGATTCAAAATGATGCAGTTTCATTACCTACATGACCATAGCACTGGTTGCTCACCAGTCACTAGATGTAAACATCATCACCCCCTCCTTCTTACTTGCAGTGAATTTTCTTGAATAGCAATTTTCTTGCTACATTTACACATCTGATCATTTTACTTCATGCAAAAATGTAACTAGGGGACTGGCAGTAGAGATTCTGCAAAAAGTCAGGGTGAAGACATTATCAGTTTGTGTTCACACATGCAGCTCACCCTAGAAAATGTCAAGAGTTTTGTGCAAGTGTAAAAACACAATAAGTGATTAAAGTTACATTTTAAAAATGCAACTCACACTTTGTTCTTCTTTGTTTTCTGCTCAAGGTGACCCTGGACGTCTTTTTGTTTGCACAGGAGCTGATCACAGATAAAGGACTGAAACTGAAGTAAAGAGAAAGAAATTGTTGCTGATGGACCACAGTGTTCTCTGTGTCAGACCTTGCTTTGACAAGTCATGTGATCAAAACAGCAGCCCAGAACCAGAGGTCACCTCACCTGTCTGTCACCTGCAGGACGCTGCACCTCCTCAGGCCAACAATGCCCTCTTCATCCTCCCAGCAGATAGCTCTTGACTGTCTGTGCTCAGTATTTTGTTGTTCATCCTCTTTCCACTGACAGATTCAAGATCATGGTTGTGTTGGTGTCTGCGTCACTTTCCAGACTGACTCCTCTTACTCTGGTTGGCTCCCAGTTGACTTTGTCTCAATCCTCACTGCCCTGCTGACCCACTTGGTGACATCTGGCCCCTTTACCTGGCTGTCATGACCCTCAGAGTCTCTTCTATTGTTTTAGTCACCTGATTGTGTCCATGACACTTTGTGGTTCACACTGTCCTCTTTTATAACCTTTATACCTTCCCATTTCTAGTGCAGATCATATTCAGCATCCTTAGAAGTGATACAATGTCCCTTAACTTAAAAAAAAACAGAGTATAGCATGTTCTACATATCCCAGTTTTGAGTGATTTTTCATTGTTGGAAAGAAAGAGCTCAGAGTTTACAGTTAGTCTGCCTTTAGCCTTGCCTGCAGCAACAGGGCTGCATGAGCTAGGGCCCTCCACTTCTTGGGCCCATTTTGGCCTTAAGGCTGTGGCTGCCATTGGTGTTTCTTCATGTTACCTCATTTGAATCAGAAGTAGTCAAAAAAAAAATCAATCTATGCAGGTGTTAACATGGAGTGAATGCGTGTTTAAGTTCCTCATCCTTTCTCAAATTTGTCAATCAAAGTGTAATCCACCATCCAATCGGAGGCCAAGAGAGCGGTCAGCAAATATTCATCGGTCCGACTATTTTGAGGTTCTGAGACTATGCACCTATGCACCTCCTCCATGTTGCAGGAATTTTTACTATTGGTGCTTCTGCTGGTGCTCAAACTGAATGGTGTCAGACGACCTGGTAATAAGAGATTTAAAAAAAGAAAAGCCTTCATAAAAACACTGTAAAAGACAGCCTTGTACATATGATTCGACCATGGGGGACTACTGCTATTATAAATACTGTTACAGACTATGTAAGGGAGGAGATGCTCAATAGATGTTTTCCCTGCAGGCCTATTTGAACCATTGACAGCCCAATGTCTGACCTGCAGTGTGCTCCTGCTCCCCTCTCTCCTGTAATCCTCCTCTTCCAGTAGTAGTCTGTGTGACCTCCCTAAACATAGTGACTCGTTTTCTCCTTCTTAACAAGGTGGCCTGTGCCTCGTAAAAAAAAACTGTACACATATATGATAGATATACATATATTATACATATAGAGAGAATTCTATAGAGTGTGTCTATACGTGGTCAGAAAATCGTTTCAAACTGACAAAGATAATATATCTATGTTTTTTCTTCATGGTTATTTTTCTAACTGGCTGGAGGTCAGAGAGGTGTCTTATTTAGTGTGTTGAGTGGTGTGTTTTTCCTCTGGTTTGTATTTTGTGAGAAAGTCCCTCAGCAGCAAGTTACATTCCCTGTCTGAAAACACAGGACAGCCCAGAAAAAAAGAGCTTTGGAGGAGTTGATGGGAAATAGAAAAGTATATTCAAGTCTAAATGGAAGGCTAGTTAAGCTGATATAATAACATTCCTTTTTAAATGTGAAAAACATTCAGTTGAAGACCATTTGCTTGTGGTGACAACTTTCAAACAAGAAATACGATCTTGAGTTTTTGCAACTCACATAGGTAGCAATGAGATTATGTCTGCTGCATTCAGCGGGCAGAAAAACTTGCACTTGTGAGTGAGGACTATCACTACTTACATCCAAGTGGAGGGTTGAGTGACTCTGTCGGATGCATTTCTTTCACCTGTTGTGTCGTCGTCGTCTTGTGAACCGAAGTGGTGACAAAATGTGACTGTGACAGCTCGTTTAGTAGAAAAATCCAGCACACATTGTTGCAGTGTTGTGGAAAGTTGAATTAGACTGTTACTCTCCCCACGTCCTCTCCCTCCCCTTATGGTGCCTGTGTGTGTCTCCCGTTTTTGGCCAAGTTTTGATTGTTATATATAAATGTCTCTCCCATCTTCCACTAACCAAGGTGATCCATGCATCACGTTTTGTGTCAGCTCCAAACATGACCCTCTACTGCGTCTGTCACTGACCAAGAATCAGCAAATTGTGTGGTGTTTGTGTTTACAAAAGTTCTAAGAAAAGTCCTAATTTGGATTTTTCTTAAAAAAAAAAAATGGGAAGACAATGCAAACAGACAAAGGAGCAAAAAAACCTATCACTTCACCATCAGGAGGCGGAGTATGAATCCTCCATTTTCAGGTCCATATCTACTGAATACTTGAAGTAGGGGGTTCTCCTACCATGAAACACCATATATGATTTACATGGTAGAAAACATGAAACATTTCAATTGTGCCCATGCATGCTGATTTTTACATAACGTGCCAACTGAGAGTGGTGATGTAAGGATAATCTCCTGTTGTCTATGCAGAGCGATTTCTCAAACGTCGTGTCAAAAAGGTTTCGGAGACACAGAGGCTTATTGAGGCTGAGGCTGCTTTCCTGGGCTTAGACTTAAGACTAATCCTGGTTGTGAATGACTGACACTGCACTCAGTGTGAGGTGGAGTCAAGAAGTCAAGTCTGCATCTGTGCCTGCAGGCAGCCATGTAGAAAAACTCGAGATAAAGGCCTTTAGAGTTAGCAGTAATTCCAAAGCCTTTGAGAAAAAGTATGAAAAGACAGAACATATATTTTCACCTTATTGTTGTTATTCAGGGTTTTTTTTTTTTATATATATGTTGCTAAACCTTTGGATCAAACAAATCACTGTGACCAATGCCAGAAACTTTTTTTTCTTCAAACAGAACAAATATTGACTTTTTTATTTGTATTATTTGTATTTATTTTTTCTATTTCAGTTAGCTTTATTTTTTCTATTGTTTCTGCTTCTTGAAAATGCCAGTTTGAGACTGTACTATTTAATTTCAGTAAATCTTTGAGCTGTACAGTAAAAACCTAGGAACAAGTTCAATGTGAGTGTCCAGCATGCTGAATGAAAACCTGTGTGAACGTGAGTTAATCTCCCATGATGCATCATTCCTCACTCATTATTGCATCCGCATCGTGCATTGTGACGGTGTGATGTTGTGTTTGAGAGTGATGTGTGTCTCACTTACTGTGTCCCATTAGTAGACAGCCTGTACAGTTCTGTGAGAGTGAAGCATGTTTCTTGGGGTTGCTTGTGTAAATGTATTCAGAAAAGAGGGATGCGAGTGGGTGTGTGTGTGTGTGTGTGTGTGTGTGTGTGTGTGTGTGTGTGTGTGTGTGTGTGTGTGTGTGTGTGTGTGTGTGTGTGTTTGAGTGTGTATAGCTGCCTTTATGGATGTGTTTGTCAGTATGTGTGTGTATCTGTGTGTGTCATGAATGCACAAGAGAACAATCTATTCAAAAGAAGAAAAACTTTATCAGAAGAAGTCCCTAGAGAAAAAAATAAGCGAGACTGAGTCAAAGTACTGAATGAAGCATGGATACTCTGTGATGTTTTTTTTTAAAACCTAGGAGGCTGTCCTCAGTGCCCCAGTTTGCTATTGTATGTGCTGTAACAGAATATTACTATTGAGTGTTGGCCAGCTTGTTTATATCCATCAAATAAAGGTGACTTTCTTTCTGTCTCTGTTGGTCATTTTCTACTTCCAGTTAAAAACATTTAATATTAGTAGTAGAATCTACTTTTTTCTTGTACTAAAAAAAATAGTATGAACCTTTTATAAATTGAATGATATCTTAGCTAAGTACAAACCAAGCAGCAACCTCCAGTGTTGAAAAATGAAGGCAAATGCCAAGGAAGTATAAAAACTGCAGTTCCTTGAATACCCACTTGAGGCTAGCTACAAAAGCCCTGGAAGTCACAAACACCCACCCAAAGCAGAAATAAACATGTTTTTATTCAGGTTCAAATCACAAATTTGGTCTGAATAGCTCATATCTTTATTGGCACACACTGTACGGGGACTAATGACTCATCCATTTTGATTCCCCCTTCAATGACTTGGAGAGTTAATCATAATAATGGGCGTGACTGACAGACGGGCAGCTTATAGCCGTTTTTCAGGAGACTTAAGTCCTGCATCAGCTTCTCCTCTTTGCCTGTAACTAGGTTGACCGAAAGTTAGTTTGAAACAGCATGTTAAATATGAGGACTGCCATCCATGGGCTTCAGAAACCATAGGGTGACATCCCTGAGACTACGTCCATGTTTATACAGTATATTGTGCAAACAAGCACACAGGTGAAGAAGTTATATGGCTTATATTCAAAGTTGGAGTTCAAGAGAATATTTAACTTATTTGTGACTTATTGTAAGACTGGGTACTACCTGCTTTAGTTAAGTTCTACTTTACATCAAGTTAGCAGGTTTTTACAAAGCGCTTTAAAAGAAACAAGGTTTGTAGTGATTTACAGTAACAATAAAACCAATCTTTACAAAAGGATTTAAGAACACATTCAAAGAGCCCTTTAATTCATTAAATATGATTAATTCCATCGTGTCAGTGAGATAACTCTTTGGAATAATTTGAAATGTGCACTGCAGCAGCAAAAAATATTTTGAGTAAGGCATCTAGGATCCAACCTCATTACGTCTCGCAGATTAATTGTACATGCAGAAATTTGAGGAGATAAGAGATAATTTCTAAGCCCTCAGTTGGAGTTTACAGGTGGATGCTAGGGTGGTGGTGGGGTAAGAAGGTACGAGTAGAACACAGCACTGAGCAGTGACTGAGTGAGGGGGAGACTGGAAATCTTGCAGCTTAGATAAACAGTAAAAGTTGGATGTGTTAACGGGTCATTGTGAAGAATGATGAATGTGAGTGTAAAATCAGAGCCGCTTGAGTTGCCTGGCTAAACTAGCTTGAAGGTATCGCCACATACTGTATATTGGCTTGCTTTACATGAGGAAAGGCTTCCACTAATGCAACAGAATTCAACTATTTAAGTAGAAATGTGTTGATGAGGAAAATGATTGAAGTGGAACCATTTGGTGTTGTACAAGAAAGTTCTAGTTCAGTGTTTAACAATGAAACAAAAAAACGAAGATGCTTTTTGGGAAAAGGGTAAAAGTCAAGTTCAATTTGTTGAAAAAATATTAAACTGTACATGCTTTGTATTTCGATTATCTACTGTAAATACAATATAAGAAGTAAATCTATTACATGGTACCTTAAGATAAACATGTTCATATATTAGTGCAGGCTGTTTGGTCGATTACAATCGTAAAACTTATATTTTGGTGGCTCAATGTGCCTGTATAAAGAAGCTCCTTCAAACAATAATAAAATCAGACTTCAACAGTTGTACAGTTGATGGAATAGTTGAAATGAAAAGTATAATGTCGATTACCCTCACAAATTAACCCCTTTCAAATGCATCTCTCATTAAAGGTTACAATGATTTCTTCTTTGTCGCGACGAAAACTGTGCCTGCATTGAATGTTGAGAATTAAAAACACTGCTGAATAGCCAAGATAGTTTCATTTTAATTAATGTAAATACAACTCAGTGATGAGAGAAGGTAAATCAACCACACATTTTAACCAAAGTGGAAGCCAAGGGAGAGAAAAAGACCGGCTAACCATCAATCCAGTCACACAAGCAGCCAGAGCAGGTGAGCATAAGAAAATGTCTCTTGCCATTGGAAAAGGGTGATTTGATTAGAGCTTTCCATAGTATGATGTATTTGAATATCAATAAGTCATATCACCATATTACAAGTAATTGTAAAATATTCAAATGACTTTTCTGAACAGTGATTGTTACCTGCCTTGCTGAGCTGTAACCCATGCTAATTGATCTACCTTCTTAAATATTGAAGTCCTTTTTGGATCAGCTCAGAGCGTTACCGTACCCTGAAGAAGTTGTCTACCAAACGGTCTCCCCGGTCAGAAAGCCAGTACCCTGCCATGGCTGCCGTCGCTCCCATGAATACAGACGTGTAGACCATATCTCCTTTAGCGGCCAGCGTGGCCAGAGCACAGAGTACCACCCCGAAGAACATCTGCTGCAGCACTTCCACCTCATCATCCTGCATGTCCTCAAACAGACCTTTCCCCTGAACACCTGCACAGAGAGACGGACAAGTCAGAGGCTGATGAAGGTGCTCAAGTGGTTGTGGGTGCAAACATCTTCGAGTATTGTAAGATGAGACTAACTTGGCTGCTGCTTCCTCACACAGACACCATCTCGGCGTATGAATCCTTTTGCACAGTCACAGCGGAATGAGCCCACTGTGTTGGCACAGATTTCATCCAGACCCTGACAGGCCAGCACCCTGTCACTACATTCATCTATATCTGAGCAACAGAAAGACAGAGACAACATCAGATCATTTTAGATCACTACTTTCTCATATAATATAACATAATGAATGCATGCTAATAATATAATATTCAGAAATATTCTCTGTTTACCCAAACACTTGGACCCTGTAAGTGTAAACCCCAAGGCACATTTCCTGCACCGTGCTGGTCCGCTGCCCATACAGCCCACACAGGCGGGGTCACAATCTGGAGGAAGAGTGAAGGTTAAATATTTGTCGTACAACTCTGAATCCAAATGAAATTACATGAGAAAGGAAGCATCATGTCATTTTAATACCCAACTGGAGATTAAGGTTAAGTCAGTTTTTTAAAGTTAAAATCTCATCCTGTTGTCTTGTAACCTTCGCTGTGATCTTTGTAAGGGGGAATATAAAAGAGGTCTGTTTCAGCAGCAGGCTATAACTTGTTTGACACATACCCTCCAGCAGCACTCACAAGCACAACAGACGACAATAAAGAAATAACCAGTCTTTTCACTGATGGTCTTATTTGCTTTTGTAGGTCATTAAGACATCAATATTATCATCAGTCTGTCTTTTAACCAGTTAAAGACTCCCCACAGGACATTTAATTGATACTGTATTTTAAGGACAATTTTGCCACATTGGTGGAAAATTAGAAAAACTAGAAAAAAATATGGCATCAGGCTAAAAAGAGTTGAAAATTAAATGTATTTGTCAAAAATTGAAGAACACAAAAATATATTTAATTGTCAGTTTAACACAATATTTTGACAGCTGGTGGTAAAATACAAACTATATAAAGATGTAACCCTGGGAAATTGAAACCTTTTAGTTTTATAAGATTAATCCGTTATTCATTCACTTTTTACTCAATTTCAACTATTACTACTTATTTATTCGATATCTAGAACTATATACTTAGCCCACTAGCAAACTCTAAATGTTTAGTGTATACCAAAGACTTAACAAGCATTTAATACAAATGTACTTTTTCAAATATATTGTGCCTTATATAATTTTAAAGCACTAACCTCTGCACTCAAAGGAACCCTCTGTATTGAAGCAGTAGTTGTTTGCAGGACAGATACCCAGCTCGGTGTCACACTCATTTAAGTCTACGACAGATCAGAAGAATGTAACGGATAGTCAATAGTCTGTTTGTTTTACGTCTCATACACAAGCACTATTGGATATGCAGACTCTGTATACAGTACCTACACAGGTGTTGTTATGGAGTATCCATCCTGTACTGCATCCCTCACATTGGTGGTTTTCTGGGCCTGAACACTTACTGCAGGCAGGAGGGCAGCTGTGTGCCTTAACAGCTAACAGACAACACAGCAAAGCAGCCTGCAGCAGGTTCATGTGAAGCATCCTCATTCCCATCTGTCCCAGCAGGTCCACCAGATAAAGCTGCTTTGTGTTTCTTGATAAGAAGATAAACATGTTTCTTGCCAGGTGGATAATGAGGAACAGATTGCTAACAGAAGAGGGTACATTCAAGTAAAAAAAATAATAGTTTTAACTTTTTGTATCACTACATTGTGTAGCTAAAGGGCTTTGCTCTCTCTCCCTCTGAGTGTGTGTGTGCGCTATTGTGTATCTTGCATGTGTGCATGTATATCAAAGGACCACATAGATCTTTGACTAATCAGAATCCATATAACCACCCTAGAAATATATTGAAGTGAGGAAGCCCTGTGAGAAATGTCTGTTTTTGTTGCTACATTTCTCTTAATTTCTTCATTAAAACGGATTGTAAAATGTTTTTGATTCGTTTCAAATCATATTTAGGCCTTTAATACAGTTTCTGTGTATGTTATCACAGAAAACTTTCTTTACCCACGTTTTATTATAGACTATATAGGCCATACATCTTACCACTGTATTGTCTGTCAACTCAAAGTAGTATGTTACAGAAATGGCTATATGTCATAACTATAAGGGGTAAAATCATGGCTTTGTATTATTGGAGTCAGAATAACTTCGATTCCAAAAGTTTATTTCCAAGCGCCAATTTAAAATAAAGTCCCATGAGGACAGGCTGTAAGCGCCACACTGAGCGTTGTGTTTGACATGCTGATACATAATACAACACGTCACATAGAACACACAGTGAACGTGACACTGCAGCAGTCAACACAACACGTGTGTGTGTGTGTGTGTGTGTGTGTGTGTGTGTGTGTGTGTGTGTGTGTGTGTGTGTTTGTGTTGAGTTTAGGGGTTTTCTTTTGCCTACCTCTATTCAGCGTCACCGTATCGTCATCAGTAAAGTTTAAATGAAGTCAATATAAGTTAGACGGCTTTATCGCACTTGTGACATAACCTGTTAAGTGTAATAACACACACATAAACAACGGGCGGGACATGCAGGCCTCACACGACTGCTCCTCCAGTATCGGATGGGAAAATGTTCAGACGCGTCTGTGTCCTCAAACGGACACTAGATTACACCAATGAGATACGCTGCCCTCCACGGAGAAGAAACCAATCACAATCCGAGATGCACCAAGGACAAAAATAGACTAATGTATTTATAGACAGGACTGCTGACAGTCTCATACTAAATGAATTCGTGAATCTGTGTTTAGGTTCAATATTGACATTGTCTAATGTCTTCTGCTTCAATCATATTTAAAACATGGCAAGCTAATTCAACAAAAATACACAAATTAGTCTAACTGAATTAAGTATAGCCTTTGTCATCTTTATTTTTTTTTTGATAGGCCAAAGACTATCATTACTGCCATGTCCAGTCCGAACAATGAACATAATGTACAGTAATTTAAGTCAGTTCCATACAGACATCTCCAGACGACACATCTCGAACACAGATATATTGACACAAGCAGACAAAACATCAGAACAACAGGTAGCTCGAACAACACAGACAACACATCAGAATGTGTACTGACATTGTCTGACGCCACATCAGAAAGGCAAATATAATGACACATACGTCACATCAGGACATGTTTAATGACGTTGTCAGAGTAACATCAAGATGAAGGGGAGTATGGGGCTCAGATGGGATAGCGGTTAGGTTGTTCCCCATAGAGGCTATAGCAGTGCAATGAAGTGGCTTGGGTTCCATTCTGATCTGCGGCTCCTTTCCCCCTATCTTCACTACTCCCCGATTTCATACTTTATCCACTGTCCTATACAAAATAAATGCTAAAAAACAAAACAAATAAATATTTTTAAAAAGATGACATGGAGTACAACAAAACTACTGAAATCTTGTTAACATTTTCATTTACACAGACAAATGTGTCGTCAGGTGAGCAATTGACTCAGATAAACTGAAAGCACAGTTCACTGTTGAAAAGTTACAGCCAAATGTCTGTCTGGTTTTTGCACAAATGGAACCCCATATAACAAACATTAACAAAATAGATTTTTTTTTTTCAACAGGTCTTCATTAGTGTCCTACGATGTATGCCAGGCACATTTAAGATGAACTCGCACCTCATGTGAGCAGATCAACATTATCTCCAGCATGAAATCTATATGTATGCTTCAAAGGCTTTGTCCCAAAACTCCAACGTGATTTTCTTCTTTAGTTTTTGTTTTTTTTCATCCATCTGAGTCCTTTCATTTCTCCATGGTTATGTCCATCTATACCTGTTCTCCTTTCTGTGCCCCCCACAGTTAGCTCAGATAGGAGCGCTTGGATCTTTGAGGGGAGATGGAACAGGGGCAGGCCCTTAAAAAGCTCTGGTAGTCTCCTGTCACTGCTAGGATGGGAGTCAAATTTGACAAGAAGAAAACGCTCTCCTGCCCTGCCCTGCTGTTTGTCCGCCTGGATAATGCACAGAGAGGCTGTGAACACATCAGAGTACGGGGAACACATCTGAGGAAGATCATTGTTGTCCACCTTCATCTTGATATCCTCTTTGTGCAAACGGGTCCATTCCTCTGTTTTCTCTAAGGCATTATGGGTCAAGACGAGCACGACTCTGCCACCCTGGCTCTTTAGCTCCAGCAGTTGTGAGTGCAGCCATGGCAGAGGTCCCAGAGTGCACTGGTCCTTCCTGCTCCACTGGTCCACAGACACATGGAAGCCATGGTTAGAGAGCAAGGACCCTAGCTCACACACTGACTCTGAAACACCAGCATCCACATCTGGGGGGCTCAGCAACACCACATGAGACATTCTGCCAACTTTAGAAAGAAGAAACAAAATGATTACTGTAATGGCATGTTTCATCTTGACTTTTTGTGTTAAAGTATTAAATACTCACCCTTGACAAATCCGCCATAATGACAGCTCCATACCCATTCTATAACAGTAGGTGAAATAAAGTATATATATTTTAGAAGGCTTAGCAAAAACACATTATAAGCATATTCATCATTATTGTGCCCCTATAAGTATTTAATTTCATTGACATCATCCGTGTAAAACACTGGTATGCAAGAGGGATGCAAACATTTCAAGACCTAGTCAAAAAGACATGATCTTAGCAGCAAATGAAAGCAGACTTATGGAAGGGGCCTCAGGGAATTTAATCCAAGCTAGACAATGCATGTTTTATCATAGCAAACAAATTCCAGACAGCAAAATACGACACTGACTTTTCTTCTACTATCTTTCCTTATTAAACGTAATGCAAAGAGAGAGAAAAAGACTTACTCTTGATGAAGTCATGAAGCACATAGAACATGATCATAGTCAAGCAAACTATCAGCATTACACCAACAACCAGGAGACTCCAGCGCCACCTGCCAGCTGCATTAAAGATAAAACAAAACACTGTTTATTAAAAGCTCCGTTGGTGTAGTTTTTTCCCCTCTGCTTAATTTGTGTCATACTCACTGTTGTTAAAACAGAATGGACCCAGGTCAAGTCCCAGTCCTCTGACCTTCACCTGAACAAATAGACACGGACATTGGTTTGTTAGTTCGGCTCAATAAACATACAAATGTTTCACACAAGAGGAAATCTTTAAAAAACATTACCATCACACATGGTGAAAGCTGAAGGTTGATGTCTTCAAACACCCCTCTTTTCACCTAAAAGGCGACACAATTATAA